AACCATCACTCTCAAATTCATATCCCCTAAAAATGACTTCTTTCATATATTCATAGATTTTCAGAGATAGAAGGAACTTCATAGATTTATAGGAGGAACTTTGTAGATTATTTAGTTTCATCTCTAATTTATATATCAGAAAACTGAGGCTCAGGGTGACTTGTGGAGGTCAGGTTAGTTAGTGGGAGAGCAGATACTGGAATCTGGATCTCTTGATTCCCAGCATAATGTCCTAATAATGATTATGGTGAGTCACACATATATTGAACTTTTAGGTTGATAAAACACTTTAAATTTATTATCTTCTTTGATCCTCACAACAACCCTTTGAGGTAGGTATTCTTATTATTTTCCCCATTTTACAGATGAGCAAACTGAAGTAGTTAAGTGACTTGCCCAGAGTCATACAGCTAGTGAGTGTCTAAGGTCAGATAGATCCATCCATCCATCCATCCATCTATCTATCTATCTATCTATCTATCTATCTATCTATCTGTCTTCCATGACAATAATATATCACATTTATATCACACTTTAAATTTTGCAAAGTACTTTATAAATCATTTGATTCTCACAACAACCCTGGGAAGTAGGTGCTATTATTATCCTCTTTTTACAAATGAAGGAACTGAAGCCCTCAGAGGTTAAGTGACTTGCCCAGGGTCACACAGCTAATAAGTACCTGAGAAAGAATTTGACTCCAGTTCCAATATTCTGACCACTTCACCAGAGCTCTCTCTATTATGTTTTCCTGAGTTCTATTGCCAGAATACCAACCTTCTATTGGATAGCCTCACCTGTATGTCTCACTGTCATCTTAAGCTGAATGTGTTCCAAATTGAAATCCTCATTTCCCCTATAAATCAGTTACTTATCCTTCTATTTTATTATTTATTATTGTTTTCTCCTTCTTTGAGACCTCAGAGTCACCTCTGACTTCTACCCCTTTGGATTCCAGAGCTAATTTCTTGCCTATAAGCACACATTTATCTATCACTTTGAGGTGTTGAGATGTTCAAGGAACTTAACTCACATTAGCTTAACTCACACTAGCTTACTACAGTATAGTAATGTATCTGTGATCTTATAAATTATATAGTTCCCTCCATTGTTGTAGATCATAATCCATCCATGTCTTTGGCCATCCTGTGTGACTCTTGCCCATGTCTTCTCATAACTTCACCATAGAGGGTCCATCTAACATGGTGGGAACCTTCCTCAATTTCTCCTGAAATCAAGTGAAGAATACTCTGGAAGTCCACCTGTCATCCCTCAACCTGATCATATGACCTGCCCATATTCTCTTCCTAATATAAATATCCTCAATGACTTCTTTTACTCCTGTTCTTCAAGGTTCTTCATTGGTTTTACTTTGCAGCCTGCTCCCTCCCACTCACAATGTACCTCTCTATCAACTTCTATGTGATACTCAAGTCTATTTATTTATGGCTGTTGTATTACATGTCTTGTGGCCATATAATGATTCTAGTAGAATTTTGGTATTTTTTTTTTAAAAAAATGAATCTTACAGGTTCTTTTCTAATAACTGTTTCATGTTTCTTATCGCCTAAGCAGAGGAAGCATGGTACAGTAGATACACTATATTTGAAGTTGAGAAGACCTAGGTTTGAATCTCATGTCAAACACTTACTTGCTGTGAGACCCTGGTCAAGTCATTTAACCTCTTCAGGCCTCAGTTTCCTCAGATGTAGCATGAGGTGGTTGGATTCAATGAACTCTTAGGTTCCTCCTGGCTCTAAAATGATGATCCTATAAAATATTTCCTATCCATACATCAAAGTCATTCAAGAAAAAAACAATAGAAACAACCTCCTTTAAAATCCCCAAGTTCATAAACATTCAACAAATCACAAAACAAGGAGATGTATACTTATGAATGGTATTAGACACTGATAGAGGAGGTCTACCAAAAAGTCCAAGGTGAAGAGGGTTTCTCTGTAGATGGTAAGGTCTTCCTTATGTCCCATTTGCATTATGTTATTGCACTCCTCATATGAAGCACCTGAATATTGCAGAGCCTACAGAAGAGATTTCAATTCAAAAGAATTTGAAAGTCTGACCACCTACACGAGAAAGACCAAACGAATGAAAAATTCTTTTGACCAGATTATGGCACACATTTGAATAAACATTCTTTAGAGTGCATTCCTAAGTATATGCATATAGGACAGATAGTACAGATGGACAATAATTTAGGTCTGAAATTGAACAGAAAGGAGTGAGCTGGATTGCTTTTAGCAAACTGCAAAGCTTCCTTAATTACTTCAAGTTTCCCATGGAAACAAAGTTCCACATTCATTTTGCAAATGAGGAAACAGTCTCAAAAAGATAAAAGCTCAACTGGATATTGGCATTTATTCTAACATCTAAAATGGAAGTCATTATCTCCCTCTCCCCATCCTGCCCCCAAACCACTCCTTCTCCAAACTTCTTGATTTCTGGGGGCATCACCATCCTTCAAATCACCCTAGTTCACAATTTTAAATCGCCACCAGTGACAATTCTTATTATTCCTATCTTTGCCATCTCTATCAAATATTTTCCTTTCTTTCCACATACTATCCTAGCTCAGGCCCTCATCACACCTTAACTGGACCATTACAACAGCCTCCATATTAGTTTCCTTACTTTTAACCTCACCTTTCCCCTAATCTATCTTCCATACAACTATCAAATTAATATTCTTAACACACTGGTCAAATTGTCTTAATCTATTGCTCAAAAACATTCAATGGTGAGGTACCAAATCACACCTATCAGATTGGTTAACGTGACAAAACAAGGAAATGATAAATGTTGGAGAAGATGTGGAAAAATTGGAATACTAATGCACTGGTGGTAGACTTGTGAACTGATCCAACCATTCTGGAGAGCAATTTGAAACTGTGCCCAAAGGGCTATAAAACTGTGCATACCCTTTGACCCAGCAATATCACTTCTCAGTCTGTATCCCAAAGAGATCATAAAAATGGGAAAAGGACCCACATGTACAAAAATATTTATAGCATCTCTTTTTTTTCTTTTTTTTTTTTGTGATGCAGTTAGGGTTAAGTGACTCGCCCAGAGTCACACAGCTAGTAAATGTTATGTGTCTGAGGCTGGATTTGAACTCAGGTTCTTCTGACTCCAGGGCCGGTGCTCAATCCACTGCACCACCTAGCTGCCCCTATTGGAGCTCTTTTTGGTTCTAACTCTTCTTTACAACGTGACTGATGTGGAAATATGTTTAGTATGATTGTACATGTGTAGCCTATATTAGATTGCATGCTGTCTTAGAGAGGAAGGAATGGAGGGATGGAGAGAAAATTTAGAACTCAAAATCTCATAGAAGTGAATGCTGAAAACTAAAAACAAATAAAAAACATTTTTAAAATATTCAGTGGCTCTTTATTGCCTTCAGGATAAAATTTAGGATGAAAATACAAACTTCTCACCCTACTCTTTAAAGTCACCCATATTACAACATTCAGCTTGAGTAAAGAAAGAATATTAGCTCCCCTGTACCATGCTTCATGGTCATATCATGCTTTACAAATATTATCTAGTTTGGGTACCTCCTCAGACCTGTGATTTAAATGGTATAGTAGGATCCCTATTTTGCAAAGAAATTGAGGCTCAGAGATTGAATTACCTATGGTTGCACAACTAGTTAATGGTGGAGACAGGACATGAACCTAGATCTTTTTGATTCCAAGTCCACAATCTTTTTAGTCTCTACACTGACTCCCAAGAGACCCAGGAATGGAACATCTTCATGATGACCAAAATACATATAGGGTCACAGATTTTGGAGTGGATGGGATCCTGGAGGTGATCTGGTCCAATTCCCTCATCCCTGAAAGGAGAAAACGTAGTCCCCGAGAAATAAAAGGCTGACTGAAAGTCCCACAGATCTCAAGCAGTGGAGCTAAGATTTGGCCACACTGCAGAAGCCAGGCAAGTCTTCCCAAATGCTGAGTAGGATCTAGACAGATGAAGAAGAGGGAAAGGGAATTCCAGACAGGAAGAGCAGCATAGACTCCAAACTCCAAGGCAGCAACAAGAACGGCGGCTTCAAGTGAGAGAGGCAGGATAGCCCTGGTTTCAGCAAACAACCCATCAGTCAAAAGCATTTATTAAATACCAGCTAACTGCCAGTCACCACTGTAGGCAAAGAGCGTGTTACGAAAGAAATAAAATTATAGCTGCCTCCAAGGAGCTTACATTCCAAGAAGGGAAGGGAAGAGAAGCCTCATGTTGAAGACACATGAATCTTACCGTTCATCCAGGAGGGTGAAAGATGTCCTTGTTTCTATAAATAAATTAGGCCAGGCACTTATGGGGACAACACTCAGGGCTAACCCAGGCCACCCTTCCAGAGGTTTTCCTCTTTCATATATATGTGGGTTAGTTTTCCCTCTGCCTATTGTCTGCCATGTGAGTTGTCTTTTTTTTTTTTTTAATTTATGTTAAATCTTGGGCCCTCAAAATACCCGAGCGTGATGAAGCTGCTTTTCTGACTTTCTGGGTCAGTGTTTGGAAGTACCCTACAGAAAATGACCTTGTAAAAGGAGACTGCCTAGAATATCTATACAACTACAGTCACACCCTTCCCTAAATTTGGAAGGGCCATCCATTCTGGCTCAGTTTTTCTCTCTGCTGAAAAGCCAATCCTCCCCACACTCAGCGAAGTAGAGGTCAGTCTTACAATCCATCAGCTTTAGTAACTGTCCTTTCTCAGTCTACATGAGGCAATGAAATTCCATTGTGAAAATTCCAGTGAAACACCATCAGTGCTCACATATTCCCACAGTGAACCTCAACATTAAGCTAATGGATGCCTCAAAATTGTTTCTTCCACCACTCCTTCCCCCATTCTGTGTCCTCCCCAACACAGCTTTTCAAGCTTCTCTTGTCCTCTACTGCAAAATCAGCATAAGGCCCTGTCTTTAACCCTTCACAAAAGGGAAATCGGATAAAAATTACACTGGACACATACATAGAACTCACATTTTATTTAAGTTCTAGCCAGCAGGTTTAGTTGTTGAATAATCAACCCAATTCTTTCTTTAGTAGAGCTAGTACAACTGTGATGTCTGATTCTGCCTACTGCATGTGGGAGACTCCCCCCATCATCAACACGTAAACCCCATTTTGAACAGAGGGGCATTAGGTTACACAATCCCTCCTACTCCCTCATTAAAACAGGGTGGGGGGGGTCAGGTGAGGGGAGAAACAGGTGGCAGAACTTCTTGCTTCAGTAAGAAATGATTTTTTTTAAACTAACAGCACAAAATTAATAAATGAGCATTTTAATTTTTATTAATGTGCCCAAAGACATAGAATTTTTCTAGGTAGTAACAATATGAAATGATTAGAAACTATTATATTAAATCATCTTTCCTACCAAAAGGAAAAAAATACATATATTTTATCTGAATTAATCAAATCAACCAACAAGTTGGGCACATATTATCTCTCCTTGTCAGTATGAATGAAAATCATGTTCAGCTCTGATTAGATTGAGAAATGAAAGGCGTGAACAGGGCTGAGCACAAATGTGGAGAAGTCAAAGTGAAGTTCATTTCTGAAATATTTCTGCCTCAAAACCTTGTGATCCTAATATCATAGATCAAGGATAGGCAATTACCTCAGAGGCTAAGATGTTGTACCTCACCCTGGACTTATTTACCCAGCCTATATGAAATGATAGTGAAAGGCATGATTAAATTTAATTTAAGCAAACAAAATAAAACAAAACAAAAACCCTTTGTGAAGGCATGCCCCCTTCATTTCCTATTGCAAGATCACATTGTCCCAGCCCTGTGGTAAGCAAACTCCCTAGCCTGTTAAATGCCCTTTAAACTCCAATTGAAAAATATCCTTCTTTCTATCTTTGTATCACCCTTACAATGAAGGATCTGTTCAGTCATCATCCTAAACCATAACTCAAATAAGGAGAAGTCTAAGCCACTGCTTGTTTGGGGGTCAAGAATTTTAACTTGCAATCTTCTAAAAAAATTACCCCCAAGGCAGTAACTTTTCCATGTGGATCTCCAAGTAAAATTGAATACAAATTTTGATGATCTCCAGCCTTAAACACACTGTAAATAAGCCAGAATTTATCCAATACTCCAAAAGAAGAAAATTTTATGAGAGGTACTGGGATTTTATCATCAAAAATATCATTAAAGACAATGTATTACCAGCTGCTTTGCTGCTGCACCTTAAGCTCTTTGACAGCCAAGGTCTCTGTTAGTTTGCTATTTGTATACTAGTGCTGTGCAAACAGTAAGCACTTAATAAATGTTTTTTTTTCTATGTTGCAGAAAAGAAAGCAGATTATAGCCCTATCAGCACCTTCATTATCAGTAAGAGTAAGTATGATGATTTATTAGCACTTATGTGCCAATGGTAGGTCTGACCCTTCTGACATGCCTTCTCTGGAACAGCTAATAGCTTCATTTATTTCTCATGTTAAACATTCTAATCAGCCAAGCTGCCTCTCAGGAACTTCCCTCCCACAAACAGGCTGTGTGTGAACAAGCTTAATAATGATTGGCTAGTCAGAGGGGAAACACCTTTTATCGAAACTAGGAGCTGAAGGAAATGGTATTATTCTTTATCTCATAGCTGCCAGAGTTGAGAATGTGTTCTCCCTTGCTGTCTTTATCTGCCCCATGGATGAGGGGAACATTAGGGAACAGGAAGCAGAGAGATGTCTTCACACCTTATTAGTCCAGAATAATAAATGATCCATTTCTATGAGTATAGCAAATCTCTGATATTGTTTCATTTGGAGGTAACAGAATGAGAGAATTTTTACATCCAGAAAAGGATTTTAGAGCTCATCCACCCAGCTCACTTTACATATGAGGAAACTGAGATCCAGAGAGAGGCAATAAAATGGATTGCCTGAGGTTAGGCAAGTAGCTAGTCAAAGAGCCAAGATAAGAACCAGGGTCCTATGCATTTTGGAAAAACTGTAACATGGAAGAGGGACTAGATGCATTCTGTTTGATCCCCACAGAGCAGAGCTAGGAGCAATGAATGAAAGTTTCAGAGGGACAGGTTTAAGCTCAATGTAAAGAAGAACTTCCCACAGTGACTGCTGTCCAAAAGTGAGATTGGCTGCCCTGAGAGGTAACAGGTTCTTTTCACTGAAAATATTTGAGTGGAAACACTTTGATGATTACTTGGGAATGTTGTAGAGAGTACTCCTATTCAAATATGAGTTGGATTATACAGTCTCTGACGTTCCTTCCAACTATGGGATTCTGCAGCTTTCTTCTGTCTCTTCTTGCTCCCTATGAATCAACAAGCATTTATTAAGAGCCTACTATGTGTCAGGAACTGTGCTCAATGCTAGGGATACAAAATAAAAATGAAACTGTCCCTGCTCCCAAAGAAGTCAGTTTGGGGTGACCTAATATGGATTCATTGGAAAAAGCTCCATTAAATTATTTCCATAACAATGATAACGTCTTTCATTTATATAGCACGTGACATTTACACAAAGGCCAAAACTTATACCCACGGCCTTACTCCCACTATAAATATGAAGACCGGGTCTCATTAGTCAATATTGTCACTGACCACTCCTCCACAAGGAGCCCTGCTACTTCTTCTCCCTTTCTGCCTAAGCAAACCAAGGCAGTGAAGTTCCACGTTCAAAATCCGGGGCAGGACTTTGCTCTCTGCCATCACTCCTGGAAAAATCTTGGGCAAGATGCCCTTCCTATATCCTCACTCTGGACCATTAAATTGAGAGCTATAAGCTTTAGTTTTGGCCCTCGGTCATCACAATGCCTAATTTGTGCCTTTCTCAACACTAATAAATATAACCCAGAGGTTTCCAAATCCACTGAACATTTCCTATTTTGAAAGAGGCCAAACTGAAAACTAACAGCTAATTAGTAAGGTTATTGATACTAAGGTTACTTTGAGGATATTACAAGATCTGTGTAGTTAGTTACTCACTTCACCAACACAGGTCACATACCCTCTACAACTTAGTGGCAAATCTTTGGGAGGTGCTGTGGCTGAGAAATGCATTATCCTTTGGCCAGCCTTAGGAGGAACCTCTTGGAACACAGCCAGGCTATTCCTCAGGTTACATACAGTCCCTCCCTGCATGGGCCCCTACTCCATTGCCTTTTCATTTTGGTAGGACCTAATAAGGATTCAATAAAGATTTGCTTGTTGGTTTGTTGGGTGATATGAGTCATCTTTGCTTTATGCAAAGCATCTATGATTTTCTCAGTTAGGTTTAAGAGCTTTCTCTACTAACCCATCTATAACTTAGTAAACAAGGCCTAAGGAGTTACCTGAGGTACTCAGACATTAAATGATCTGGCCAGGGGCCCACAGCTAGTAAGAGTTAGAGGCAGGATTTAAAATTGTTTTCCCACCTCCAAGTCTAGCACTTTGTCAACTTTACCATGCTTCCTTTCTTGATCCATGTAAGCTATACAAAATAAATCAACATGAAGTTTTTTTCTTTTTTTTTATCAGCAAACAAAAGGCTGAGAGTGTCTTTTTTTTCTCTTGAAGAATTTAGAACAACTATTCTTAATTACCCTTAAACAAAGTATAATCTACAAGAATTTTAAGTTCTGGTGTTTGTAAGGAGTATCCCTTAAAGGAAGGTAAATGGATTCCAAAGAACTTTGCTCTAAGCTTCTGGAGGTTGTTAAGTCTTGGCTGGAAGAATCCCAAGGAGGCAGACTCCAACCTGTGAGGTTGTCTAGAGATATTTTGATTTTGGCTTGATGATATTCTAAACAACAGCACTAGATTTGTAGTGGTTTTTTTTGTTTGTTTGTTTTTGGTACAGAAAGCTAAGGATTACTACGGAGTAACTATTCCATTACTACTATTGAGACCTTAAAGTTCTGAATTTTCTCATTACATCTGCTGTAAATCATATAGTAGACCAAAATATTTCTAAATATTCAATTTCCTTAATCCAGAGAAGGTGTGATGATGCAGACACTTTTTATGTTGTGCATTTAGAATCTTGGGTCCTTTGATAGATGTTTTCCTTTTCTCTTGGAGGCACCTCCTGCTCAACAGGGAACTGGTCCTGTGGACTTTCTTCTCAGACTCTCATAGACCATGGCTTGCAATTTGCTGGCACTTCTGTAACACACTGCAGAGGAAAGAAAACAGTTGTTGACTAGCAGGATCCTTGTTGTGCCTCCTTCCACTTATCCTCATCCCCTCCACAATTAAACACCTCTCCTCAATCCTGTCCTTTGGAACACAGTGTTTAAACAGGCCTCAGGCCTTTGCTTCTAGAACAGAGTACCCTTCCTAGAATTTCTAGCTAATACCACCAGCTATTCATTTGAAGCAGAATGGAAAAAATCTATATATTGTTTTGTATGGCTACCTCCCTTGATATATTAAAATAATTAGATGAAAAATGGATCCTTTATAGAGAATTTATGGGAGGCCACAAATGAAAATCATATAATATGAGAAAGTACGGAGGTCTTACAATCTTTATCAGTGGAGGGATTATTGTTGTCATCATCATCGTCATTGTCACCACCACCACCATCATCACCATCACCATCATCATCATCATCATCATCATCATCATCATCATCATCATTTCCTTATCTTTTTGATGGATTTTAGAGAGAAATGGCTCTGGCATGTGTCAATATATTCCTATTATTCTTTTATGTGTAAGTTTTGTTTTGTTTTGTTTTGTTTTTGGTGATGCAATCAGGGTCAAGTGACTTGCCTACGGTTACACAGCTAGTATGTGTAATGTTTAAGGACTATTGTTCAGGTGGACAAAATGATGTATTTTGTAATTGAATAAAAGTATCGAGATATAAGCCCATTTTCTAATTACCATTATTACTGATGAAATGTATCTATGATTTACCTATGGCAACCAGAGGGCTCTGCATCTGTGCAACTCCAGACAAAATCTGAGGTAAGACACTAGTTCTGAAGTTTAGACCAAGGAAGAAGCCCTCCTCAATCAGTTTTTGCAGGCTTTCTTTCAAATGAACCAGCACACAAATAGAATCAAATCAGCATTCTCCAAAGGGATGCCAATAAAAAGAGTCCTCTATGTATCATTTGCCTCTCCTCACAGAGCCATGGCATGTTAGGATCTCTATAAATGTTAGTGACCAACTTTGCATTTTTTTTTGCAAGGAAATGGGATGAAGCAACTTGCCCAGGGTCACACAGCTAGAAAGTGTCAAGTGTCTCAGGCCAGATTTGAACTCAGGTCTTCTCAAATCCAGGGCCAGTGCTCTATCTACTGCGCCAGTGACCAACTCTGAAGACATGATTTTTCTGTGGCTCTCTTATATAGCTCCTTTATTCATATCTATGAAAAGCATAGATAACATCCATGCATTGGGACTTTTTTTTTAGCTCCAAGGAGGTCACCTAACAGGTGGTCTTGCCACAAAACTGCTGTTTGGAGAGTTCCCTCATCATTTCATTGCTCTTTCAGAGAGTCTGAGCCATCAGAGGTATAACTAGAATGGGGCATGTGGGGCTTTGCTTCAGGGTAGAAAACTGAGAGAGTGCCAATAGACCCTGTGGCAGAGTACTTCCTCCTCTGAAAGGCTCTACTTCCAATAACAGTATGTCAGGTTTTTTCCCCATAGTAGCTATAGTTATAAAGCTGGAAGGGGTCTCAGAGATCGTCTGTTTTAACCTCCTTATTTTGGAGAGGAGGAAAATAAGGCCTAAGAAAATCAAGTGATTTGCCCAAAGTCACATAAGTTTCAAATATCAGAGACAGGATTTGAACTCTAAAGTCAGCATGCTCTTCACAAACCACAGGAATTTCCAAGGCTTCCTCCCTCAAGACTATAACCCTGGTAAGCTTTCTTGCCACTCCTAACTTTGGCCTAGGTGAAAATATTGCTAGTTATGGCTCTTCTTGGTACTCTATACATAAATACAGAATTTTAGAGTTGTAAAGGATCTTAGCTCAATGGAGGAATCCCTTCTATTGCCTCCCCCACTGTCACCTAATCTCTGGAACGTTTCCAGTGATACGGAACCTCCCACCCAATGGTCTAGTTCATTCTGCTACTACAGGACAACTCTCATTACTATCAAGTTCTTCCTTATATCAAGCAACTTCTGACTTCCTGTGGCTTCCCCATTGATTGGAATTCATTATATTGCTAATGGTTACTCATTGAATCTATCCTATCCAACAAAGAAGGAGCCTCATAAGGCCCTCTCCTTGCTTCCTCAACCTTGGTTTTCACAACAATTCATGGACAAGACTTCTCTCCAACTCCCTCCACTCTAGAAGGATTATCATTAAGGCTGTGGGAATCGTACCAGAGTGGTGAACTTATCCACACAGGCATTGCGGATCTTCTCTGGGGTGGCAGGGCTGTCCAGCTGGAAAAGCTCCTTCATCTTATAATCTGCATGCTGAACACGGGCTGCAGAGATAGCATCCTTGATGGCAAAGAAGATGGAGGAGGCCAGGAAGAGGGGAGGCTCTCCAACAGCCTATGCAAACAGAAAGCAGGGCAAAGGAGTCAAACTGAGCCCCATTCCCTATTTATCATGCAGGAGCCTGGATCCCATGATTATACAGGAATAGAGTATGGGCTGCAAATGGGGACCTTCCTCAATGAGTGAAAAATGAGAGCCAGACCTGGAATGTGGATGTCATCATTAGACCATCATAAGAAAGGCAAAGAATGAAGTACAATCTTTATTTGCATTGGAGGCAAATAAAGAATGTGGAGAAACCGAGGCAAACATCAAACTGTATTAAGGATAATACAATTTGGGGAATGGCTAAACCAATTGTGGTACAAGAATGTAATGGAATATTACCGTGCTGAAAGAATGGATGTGATCAGAAGAATGAAGCATAGAAAGATATGAACTGATGTAGAATGAAGTTGGCAGAGCCAAGAAAACAATATATACAATGACTACAACAATAGAAATAGAAAAAAAAAAGAACCACAAAGAAATAGAAAATGACTGTTGCAAAATTACAAAGAACAAAGCTTGACACCAAAGATAAGATATGAGAAGACAACTTTCCCTACTTCTTTGTATGGAGAGGGGGGGTGTCCACAAATGTGAAGCATTAAATATGTTGTCAGATTTTTTTTAATGCACTGATTGGTTTTGCTGAATTTCTTTTCTTCCTATTTTTCTTTGTTAAAAAATCTTTGTCATAAGAGATAGCTCTCTAAAAGGGAAGTGAAGAAAGGATATGGGGCAAATCAAGGTTAATAATAACAAAAGATATCTATTTAAAATAATAATAGCTCACACTTATGCATCACTTTACATACATTATCTCATTCTTTCCTCACAACAGTCCTGTGAGAGAGGTCCTACTAATTTTACAGATTTTTTTTTTTTTTTTTTTTTTTACAGATTTTACAGATGTGGAAAGCAAAGTTCAAAGAGATAAAGGGACTTGGTCATGGTATGCATTTGAGGCTGCATTGGAGCCCATACCTTCCTGACTCCAAGATCAGCACTCTACCCATCACACTATGCTATGCTGGCTCTTCTCTCCTATCTTAGCCAAGCCTTACAACATCACCAGGAGAAAGCTACCATGGATTATTAGCCACATCATTAACAAGTAAGTAGACTCAGGCTTGCCTAAGACCAAAGATAATCCCTGGCAAAGTTGAGTCTACCTTTTTTTGGCACTTATGGAGCTGGACCAACTTAACTAGACTAATTTGGAAACCTTCCTAAGCTGATTCTAGATGAATTAAGTTCATATTCCTTCAAGACATTCCTTCAAACCCAAACTCAACCAGAAGTGTTGGGTAGGACCAGTGCCCAGCACCACTTGTTTCCAAGAAAACAGGACAATTTTAGATCTAGGCAATGGATAGCTGAAAAGACCACTGCCTTTTACACTGACTCTGAAAGGTACATTTATTAAACCCAAATATGCAGATGCCATAGTGATACCTTAGAGCTATAGATGGCTTTTTTGTTAGGACAATCCCGGAGAAGAGATACCCTAAATTCAATAGGAATGTTGCCAAAGGCAGGGATCTTATAGGTGCTAGGTCCCCGAGTATGCAGGCTTCCCTCAGGAGAGTAATGCAGCTCCTCCAGGGTAAAGAGGCCGAGGCCTTGGACAAATGCCCCTTCTACCTGCAAGACAAATAAAGATCCACTCATTACCCTGGCACTCAACACCATGTATTGGACTTTTTTCAAAGGTGTTCTTCTTCCCATAAACAGAGAACCCAAATCTAATGAGACCTGAGAAGGGATGGGGAGGTCATTGTATTATTTCTGTAGTATCTAAAGTATTCAGAACCTAATTAAACAATGGCAGATCTATATCATCCCATTATGTTTCATTTATCTCCCACTTCCAGTCCTTACAGTGACTATTGGCACTTCCACCAAGAGTTTGACCTAGAGAGAGCATATAGAACATCCCCAGTTATTACACTCATGTGATACTCATAAAAGCTTTAATAAGGGAGGAGTTTCATACATCAATCAATACTTTTTATGGGAATCAAACTTTTGCTTTCATTGGTATAGGAAATGCTTTATGAGAAAACTCTCTATTACTACAGATCTGTAACATTTCTGTCCATCTTTTAGTCTTAGAGAGTTGCTTGGGGAACTTAGAGTTTAAATGATTTGTCCAGAGTTCATTCAGCCAGTGGGCAAGCTCACTTCATCAGAGGTGAGGCTTGAACCTAGGTCTTGCTGACTGAGGCCAGCTTTCCATCAGCTACACCAGAGATATCACATATACAGCTCTCAGCTTATATGGGCCCAAATGCTACTGATTGCTGCAGAACCAGATTAAAATATAATTCAGAAATATTTAACAAAAAAAAATACAAATAGACACAGATAGTTAATATGTGGTTTTCTAAATAGATATGTGGCTTGAAGAAATCCTTTTGTATGGTTTTGCATGGTTTAGTGGCTATTTGAGTTTGACACCACTGAATTATACCATGATGCATCTATCTTAGTCTTCACAAAAAAACCCTGATAGGAAGAAAAGGGACCTCACTTTTATCTCTGAGGAAGCAGAGATGTAAGGGAGGGAAATAGCTCCCTAGTTTGCCACGTAGGGAAAAAAGCAAGTTCTCTCCCATGTGTGGAGTTTCTGTTTCCCAACTGTGACATCTCAGACAGAGGATTAATCTAGACGTCCTCCCAGGCCCCCGTAGCACTAGTGTCCTGTGAATACACAAAGAGTCCCTACAGATTCAATAAATCCATGACATCCTAAGGAGAAATGACCTGCTTCTTAGAGTGTTGGATTTCTGTATGGTGAGTTATCATTGCTCCAGTTCTAAGAAATATGATTTCGCTTCTAGGCTTGCCTGCTCAATCTTTCCATCTGGTCACTTCCTTTGTCTTTCTTTAAATCTCAAGTTGATCCCTTCTATGTGTGTTGGGCACATCATTTGTTGTTTTTCACTTTAATTCTGAATAGGCATCTCCTAAGTTTTGTCATTAATCTGGAGACTTTCCCTTCCAGGACCCTCTCCCCTCCTCTACCTCCAGCCCTCCCAATGATCTCTGGTACAACTTTGAATTCTTCAAATCTAATCTTTACCATACAATCTTTTAGCTCTTATTTAGGGAGGAAGGAAGCTATGATAATTTCTAACTTCCTACTCTCTTTGGCAATAGATCTGATGACTTCCCCCTACTGTCAACACTGTCTACTCCAAGAAGGCTTTACTCTTGAATGTCTGAGTATATACAATATGTTTTATTGGTAGTAGGGGGATAGGTGTTGGTCCAGATCTGTGACTCCATTGATGTAAGAAACTTCTTGGAAGAAAACTCCCTCTATCAAGGCAGATCAACAATTTTTCTAAAAAATTTCCTAGGATACTTTAAGTAGCTTGCCCAGAGTCACACAAAAAGCCAATATATGCCAGAAGAAGTATTTAAACCTATGTCTTCCTGACTCTGAGGCCAGCTCTCTATTCACTACATCACGTGGCTTCTCCCCTACTATTTTTACTGTCCTGAATTTATTCCGTTGTTTGTGCCACCTTTTAAAGGTAGTTCATGTTAGTGTTGTTTGTCTTAACTTTTAAATGCCCACTCAGCAGGGACCATGTTGACCTAAAACTATTATACAATGCTTCAAACTACACTATGGGTAAATGTGCTTAATAAGTAGGTTTTTTAAAACTTAGTTTAATTTTTTCCATTGACAAAAATATTTTTCTCTCCCTCCCACCTCTCCAAAGAAAAAAGAAAAGCAAAACTTTTGTAACAAATACACATAGTCAAATAAAAAAAATCCCTGCATTGGCCATATCCTGAAAATATCTCTCTCATTCTACACTCTGAATCCATCCATTAACTATCAAACTAGTTGGGGGGTTTTGAAAGTAAGGACAAGCTATGGCAGTTGAACTAGAAGACCAAAGTGGAGAAACCAGTACCCAAATCTGTTTCAATTCTAGTTTTCCATGAGATCCTTACCTGTCCAATATCTATAGCTGGATTCAGGCTGGAGCCAACATCCATGACAATGTCTGTGCGGATGTTCTACAAAGGAAGGAAAAGTTTGAATAGTTTGAAGACAAATAAATACCAAAAATAACAGTCAGGATCTTGGCTAGGTAAGGCTCTGGGAGTACCATAGTAAATACTGCCTTGCTATATAGTTCCATTATCATACACATGGTATCCAAGGCCCACTTGATCCACAAGGCTGACTGATGTCTGAATTTTTCTATCCTGGCTCAACTCTTACTGTTACGACAATCAATCAGATCACAGGAATCAGAGACAACTGCCTGACCCATACCATCCTCTTCAGAAAGTTCAGCTATATTTATAATCTACAGTATCGGTAGCTCACCGACACCATTTTCTCAATAAAACTATTGAAGCAGTCAAAAAGAGTTTCCCAAAAATACATATGATCTTACAGAATGATACCATCAGAATAATGTGATAGGGAACCAAGTTAGTTGACTAGAAAAAAAATATCAAAGGAGGGGTTTTCTGTTCTCTGAACCAAATTATTACCAAATTGACATGCAAATAATGTATATGGCAACACCATTTCGATCTATGAGATAAGGCTTTGGAAACCACTGTAAGTTTCCCACCAATGTCTGTACACAGTGATTGAAACCAACAAGTCCAAATAGATTTCCTGGATAGTTTAAATCTTCAGGCACAATATGTGGACAAGTACACATGTTCACTGAAAAGCACATGAAGAGAGGGGGCAAGACAAGTATGACTGAAAAATCAGAGTCACAACAGCTTGATCTGATCTGCCTCCTTGAATTGTCACATGGCTACTCACAGTCAGGATTTGAAACCAGATCTGTGTTACTCCAAATCTACCATTCTATCCACTCTATCTTTGTATCTCTGATGACTTAAAAGGTGCCTAGCTGGCCCAAAGTAGGTGTTCAATAATTGTTGAATTAATTAATTAATTGATAATTTGGGCCCTGCAGATGTCAAACAAGGAGGAAGTTTTCAGAAGACAGAAAACTTAGTATTAAGAAATTAATAGTACATTCGTGTTTTTTAAGTTGCATTTTTTGAGGTCATCTGAAAGGAGTCTTAAAGATCAACTAGTCCAACCTCTTCATTTTACAAATGACAAAAATGAAACTCATAGAAGTAATTTGTTCAAGGTTAATAGATAGGAAGTAGCAGAATCCAGTTTCAAACCCAGATCTTCTGACTCCAGATCAAGTGTTCTTTCCACTATCCTATGTACTTAAGGTTTACCAAGTACATTCACTCATCCATCAGTATTAAGTGAAAATTCCTAGTGTCCCATTGTACAGCTCAGCACTTTTTGAATGTACTAAGATCATGTAAAACTATCAGATTTTGAGTCAGAAGATCTGGATTTGAATCTGTTACTTCTCTGGGACCTCTTAGGGTCTCAATTTCTTCATCTATAAAATGAAGGTGGTGGAATGGTTGAACTAGATTCTAAGTTCCTTTCCACGTCTAGGTATGTGATTCTATGATTTGTCATGTCTATGGCCCTTTAAAGCTTTCAATCCTAGGATCCTATAATTTTCTTCAACCAAGGATTTTCCTTCTAATAGTCCATAGTGTTACTGGTTAGCTTGACTCTGGAATAAGAGAGTTCCAAGCTTCTTACCTTATGATCACCTGTTAAGCAGTCGATTTCAACCTCAGAGCAAGCTACACCATAGGAGAAGTAGTGGAAGGGATTTCCAGAATTGGTTTCAAAACTGTAGCCCAAGTTGGGTGTTCTGAGAAGAAAAGATACCATACATTTAAAGATGAACAGAAGGAAAAAGTAGGCTTTCCCTACAATAGGAATCAATGTCTATAGTACAGTAAGGTTCACAAAGCATTTCTTTCTCAATAACCTCATGAGAGAGCTAGTACAAGTATTATTATTGTTCCTATTTTGCAGGTGAGGAAACTGAGTTTAGGAGAGATCATAGGAGAATAGATAGAGAACCAGGAAGATCTTAGAATCAGCCATCCAGGTCAATCTCATTTTACAGGGAAAGAAACTTATGGAAGTTACAGAGCTGATACTCAACCCAAGGGAGGTAAATAGTCTTTCCCAAAGTCACTGAGGTAGTAACTGGTAAAGCTGATATGGAAATCTAAGTTCTCTGATGTCAAATCCAGTGACCTCACAGAGGCACCACATTGCCTTTTAAAGAAACCTCACCTTTCTCCTTGAGATCACAAAGGTTTTCATTTTCATTTTCCAACTATTCACCAGCAAAGTCAAGATAGAACATTTTAGCTTAGTAAGGAAACCTAGGTATTTCTTAATATATGATCTCTGCTCCTTGCTATTGTAGTCATGTATTTTTTTAAGAACATATTACTATTAATCAATGAATCAAGTTGTTTTGTAAATCAGAGTTCCACTCCTACTTTCTAGATAGGCAATGAGAGCCTCAGAAGGGGCACAGACACGTATAGACTCACATCATTAAACAAAATTGTGGTTACATTTAAATCCATAGTCTTCTCAATGAGAAGGGTCTGCCTGCAAGGAATCTTTGGGCCATGTTAATGCTGAGTCTACTTTACTATTAAAAAAGTGGTAGAATGTAAGCTATTTGAAAGCAGGGACTGTCTTACTTTTACATTTTTATCCCCAGGGCAAAGCACAAAGTAGGAGCTTTGTGCCTAGCACATAGTAGGAGCTTAATAAATGTTTGCTGAATGTTTGATTACCGAAAAATTTTAGCTAGAGCCTCACTAATTTCTGTGTGAAAGATGGTCAATCAGCCAGTTATTCAGACAGTCTAGACAGCCTCAAATTGTTGTTTAAACTGCTTTGTTTTTCTGTCTCTTCTCCTGACATTCTTTCAACCTTAGCAAAAACATTTTTGAAAAAGTCTGTATATATACATATACACCCACAGGTTTCATACTCTAAAAAGACCATTAAAAGCAAATATACCCCTAGTACCTGAATTTAGATTTCTCAGAATAAGAAACTGAAGTTTTGCTAGTTAAAACTTCACAGGGAGAGGTATTATCAAAATGAACCCAATCATAATTGTGTGTTCATCAATTTCTGAGCTTCTAAATCTAATGGGAAGGCCTTCTGTCCATAGGGGTCTTTGGATGCTAAAATATTTCAAAGAGGCAACATGATGCAATGAATAGTGTTCTGGACACACGGGTCAAGAAAGTCTGGGTTCAAATACAGCTTCTGACACTTCTAGCTGTGTGGATGAGTCATTTAACCTCTATGAGCCCTCAGTTTTCTTATCTATAAAATGGGAATAATAAGGCTTATGGTACCTACTTCGCCACGTGATGGTGGAGCAGAAGTAAGATACTGTATTATAAAGCACTTTGCAAAGTTTAAAGCCTATCAAAATGTAAAAGTATGAAATTGAGAAAATGGCTTAACCTATTGATGGCCTCAGGCAGCTCTCTAAGGCTATAAATTGCAAAGCACAATTAACCTCTGTTTGCCTCAGTTTCTTCAACTGTGAGAAGTGGATAATAATACCTACCTAGCAGGGTTGTTGTGAGGATCAAATGAGATAATATCTGTAAAGCACTTAGAACAGTAGCTGGCACATAGTAGGCACTATCATTGTTATTGTCATTATTGGACTCATAATTATCATTATCTGAATTAGAAACGGGAAATTCATCACAAGGAGTTCTCTATACCAGTGGAATCACAGGTTTGGTCTAAAAAAAGTCATTTGTTAATATCATCATCATCATCATCATCAAAGCTAGAGAAGGAATTTGTTCTTCTTGTAAATCTCCATTGAGTTTATCACTTTGTAACAAGGGCCAGTGTTTCATGAGAAATATATTGGTTCTATCTAAGGGGATGCCCCCAAATGGCAAATCCCAGGAACACTTGGTGAGAACTCTACTTCCACTGTTGTACAACATTTCTGTTTATGATGTTTATGGAAAACCCACATGGAGGGAAAGGTTGGCACTCTCTGCCTGTGCCTGGCCACATAATCAGAATTCATAATGGTGAAGTTTTTCCAACAGTGCCTTAGTAACCAAATATGATGAAATAGAAAAGAATGAACAGTTACCTATAAAATCCTGTAGCAGACAAACTCACTGATGCCAGGTAGGCAGCATTGACCTGAGGGAAAGAAAATTATTATGAGAGATATGGGGAGGTTACCTATCCAACCTCCAGTCTTGGAGACAATCATTAAGAGACAGCTAGATCTGCTATTCTAGGCTGTAATGTGGCCATTTTCCCAGTCAACCAAGCTTCAAACCTCAATCATCCCTCACTGCCTCTTCTCTCTCCCTGTCACCAAGTCCTGCAGACTTTTCCTCTATAATGTTTTTACAATTATTCTTTCCAGCCTTGCTGCCACTCTGTTTCAGGACATCATCACCTCAAAACTAAATCTGCCTCCTTATACTTGCCATCCATTGCTCCCAATTCTGTCCCCTAGGCCCAAGAACAACAAGACAAATCTTTCTTCCATGTGACAGTCTTTCAAATACTTGAAAAAATTCATCATGTCTCCCCTCCCCTAATCCCATCTCCAAGACTTTTCTTTTCAAAACTAAAACCCCCAGTTTCCTCAATGAGGCACAATCCTCAATCCCTTCACATAATTCTGGTCACCAATTTTTGTTGTTATTGTCGTTGTTGTTGGGGGGTGGGTTTGGGGTGGAGCCCCCTGAGGCAGTGAATTCCTGGTGAGGAAACTTTCTATCAATGCCAATCAGAAACTGCTCTAATATGTTTAGTCTTAGAAAGTTGCCTAGGACACTGAAGATGAGGTGCTTTGTCCAGGGTCACATAGCCAGTGTGGGTCAGAGGTAGGATTTGAACCCATGTCTTACTAACTCTGAGGACCAACAGTTCTCTATCCATCACACCATAATGCTTCATTCACTCCATTACAAAACATCCCTGATCCAGGTCAGAAATGGAAATAATATCAGCCAACAATAATAATTATAATAGCTGACATTTATATGACCCTTTCTGGATTTACAAATCACTTTATTTACACCTTCCAGTGTCTTCTCTTAAAGTTCAGATGCTCCTAAGAGGGATACTTAATTAATCAAAGTAGTTAATAAGCTAACACCTCATGAGAATTAGTTGACAGCCATCAGAGACAAAGATAGGGCCCTGGAGGGGAAGAGGTTGCTGGAAGAGGGGAAAGAGGGATTAAGGAATGAAGTATGGGAGGCAAAAAAAAGAATGGTTTGTTTCATTAATTTCCTAGGCAGAAAGCCCAAAGGTCTTGGGGGTTGTAACAATATTGTCATAAGTCTTAATAAAAAATGACAATGAAAACAAAACCAAAGATACATTCCCTGTCCATGATTTGGTAGACATCTTCTTAGGGCCACTCTTCAATGGAAGATATCAAAAAGAAGGGAAAGAAATCCTTCTGTTCCCTATTTATTTTTTTATCTTTCTCTATTAGTTTTCCATTCATTGACAAAATTCAGTTAAATTCCAATAACATATTTATCATTATAGCAAAGCTCCACAATTGGAAGAGAACTTAGAAACCATCTAGTCCAAACCCTTCATTTGACAAATGAGGAAAATGAAGCCCAGGGATTAAGTGACTTGCCCAAGGTCATACAGGTCATATACTTATATGTTGTTATTCAGTAGTTTCAGTCACGTCCAACTCTTCATGACCCCATTTGGGCTTTTCTTGGCAAAGATACTGGAGTGGTTTGCCATTTCCTTCTTCAGCTCATTTTACAGATGAGGAAACTGATGCAAACGGTGTTAAGTGACTTGACCAGGGTTACATAGTTAGTGTCTGAGGCCAGATTTGAACTCAGTCTTCCTGACTCCAGGCCTGGTACTCTATCCACTGTGCCATCCAGCTGCCCTCTAGTAAGTGCCTATTACTATGCAAGGTCTTTCTACTAAAGATACCCTCCAGGGGCTCTACATGGTGTGCAGGTGATCCAGGTTCTCAAGAAAGCCAGGCCAGTAGGGCATAAGCTCTGGCAGGTCCTACCAAGCTGGAAAGGCACTGAGTATAGCCCCAATGATGAGCTGTGTGTATCTGCATTGACACAGAGCTAGTCTTGGTCAGAGCATCAAAGCTCTTCACTAGAGAATTGGTCCAGGGGATGGATTTTGAGGATCCAATGAAACTCACAAAATCTATCCACAAAGGCATAGAGGAAGCTATAAACTGCACCAGTGGATGGAGCTCCCAAACACAGGAAATCACAGATTCTAAGCATTTGTACTACAAATATGGGCAGGTCCTAAGTTTCACCATGTTTATCTTTAATAAACGCATACTTACCCAGTCTTCCCAGGAACCATTGGGGTTTTTATTTTTGAAGGGTTCCAACCTTTGTAAGATGGTTTTACAAGCTTCCTAAAGGAAAAAAAGCACACAAAAATCATGCTCCCCAAACATATTGGTCATTGGTTACAGTATCACAGATTTAGAGCTAGAAAGGACCCTAAAGGTCACCAACTTCAAATCGTTCCTTTTACAGTAAGGAAACTGAGACAAACAGAGGTAAAAATGATTTGCCCAGGGTCACACAGGTAGTAAACGTCTGAGGCCAGATTTGAACTCAGGTCTTCCTGACTCCAAGTCCAGCTCCTCCTCATCTACCCTCAAAGTTCCCATAATGGTATATAAATTTTAATTTTCTGCCCCTCCTTGCTCGGCATTTCCCAGAAGCTACAGAAATGCCCCAGAATCCTGGGATTCAGGCTGAGGTTGCCCGAAGAATAGAGGCAATCACTGACTTTCTCCGTGGGAGGATACCTACAGTCCAAGAATCCTACCTGCGCTGGGCACTGCACAGAAGACACGCTAAGAAAGTAGGTGTTACTCGGAAAGGTACCATTTTGATTTCTTATTCACTGCCAGAGCAAACATTTTGCATGATTTTAAAAATACTGATTTCATTGCTGCATATTTAAGGGGACTGTTAAGGCTGTGTCTGAGATCATTAGCCCCTCATTTCAATCAGGTCTCTTATGATAAGGATCCCAGAACAGACATCACATCTCTTGGCTAGACCATCTCACTTTCTCTCCACTCTCCTGCCCTGTCCACTTACCTGTCTTCAGCGTTGCCAGCTAAATGCAAAGATGTTAATGGAAGCAGCTATAAGCCTTGTAGCTTTTCCCATGGCCTTGAGTCTGGAGGATGAGGGTCCTCCTTAATCATAGCACCAGAGAAACAAGAACAGCTCATAACCAAACAGCCTTAATAGAACACTGCCACAGACATCCCAAAGAGACTGCTTTGGACCTGAACAATAGGCCACACCAGAGACCTACAGGGTCCCACAAGAACCTTACATAGACAGCCCGTCCATTGATGTCAGCGCTGACGGAGGCAGCTGTGGGAGAGGTGTTGGGCACTGTAGTGGTGCTTGTTTCGCTGATGTAAATCTTGGAAATGGGGATCTTCAAAGCTTTGCTGGCCACCTGCAAAACGAGGAGTCCATGGCTATTGGGTATATTTATTTTTAGAAAGCATTGCTAGCAATCCTTAAAATCATTAAATCTTATTACCAGGGAAAGAATTTAGAATCCATCTAGCCCAATCTCCCATCCCAAGCAGGAACCTTTGATAACACCTCTGAGTTTCAATTCACCTATGCTACCTCCTTGGAACTTATCCCTCCCTGTAAGTCTGTCCTATAGCCAACATCACCAGCTCTTATGGCAAGGTCATTAGATGTTAGAGCTAGAAAGGACATTTTTTAGACTGGATTCATGATTTCATTGGTATAAAGAATATCAGATAAGGAAGCACCTTCTACAAATACAATGAGGCACCTGCCTCTTCTACTTCTCAGAGTTTTAGAGAATCGCTATGGGGTACTGATAGTTTAAGTGACTTGGCCAGGGTCACACAGCCAATAGGTGTGATAGCCATGGGTGTGAGAGTCTAGACTTGAACCCAGGTCCCTGAGGCTGGCTCTCTAGTCATTTAAATTTTGGTGAATCACAAAAGTCCTTAGAAATTATTTAATCCAACCCCTTCATTTATTCAGATGATGAAACTGAGGCCCAGAAAAGTAAGATGTTTCGTTCAAGGTCACTGGACCTCCATTTACTCATTTGTAAAATTAAGGAGATGGATTAAATGATGCATAAGGTCCTTTCCAGTTCTTGACCCTATGATAATCTATGATGAAGTATATCCCTTGTGCCTCTATTGAACAGCCTCCTTCTCACCCAGGGAATATTAGTAATTATAATAACTGATATTTATATAGCACAATAAAATCTTACATAGTGTTTTCCTCCCATTTGAATCTCATTAACAATACTGTGTGAGGTAGGTACTGCATATTTTTGTGTGTAGAGCGGGAAGGATAGAGGGGCAAGTCTGGACTTGTGATTTCAGCAATGTAGGAAACTACCAGGGAAGATACACTCTCTATGAAAATCTGAAATTTCTCTGCAACTTATAGTGTTAAAGAATTACTTGGATACAGTGAGAGGTTACCGAGGTTAACACAGTAATTATAGCATGTGTCAAAGGACGGGGTTTGAATCTAGATTTTCTGACCCTCTAGTATGCCACTCTGCCACTCTGATAGGATTCCCCATTTTACAGAGGAGAAAACTGAGATGCCAAGATTTGAAATTACGTTTCCAAGGTCATACAGCTAGTTAACAACAAAGGAGGGTTTTGAACCCAGGTCTTTTGGGTTCAGGAAATCTATCCATCATACCATTGTTGCCTTTCTAGGGGAAACTCCTTGTGCTGAGAGTATTTCCCCCACAAAGTATTCTCTTGTTACTGTTGTGTTCACTTAGGCTGCTTACTTGGGTCATCTTGGTGTGAAGGCCTTGGCCCATCTCAGTACCACCATGTGTAAGAAGAACTGAACCATCTGTGTATACGTGTATCAGAGCTCCAGCCTGTGGGAGGAAGATGAGGCCACATCAGGACTATCACGTGGGACCTGTTCAGCTTCAAGTTTTCTTTAGTCTTAGACTGAAGAGATTACAATGAAACACTTTCTGCAGAGCACCATAAGCACTCGAAGGTGAAATGCTATGTCCTTAGCCTTCCTCTCTTCTCTGTTTACATTCTCTCCTTTAGTAATATCATTCTTTCTCATGGCTTCAGTTACCACTGCAAATGACCACATATCCAGGCCCAGTCTTTTCCAGGAGCTCCACTTCATCATCTCCAACATCCTACTGAACATCTCTATTTTGAAATCCTGCTGAACATCTCTACTTTGAAATCCTGCTGGAACCTCAAACTCAGAATGTCCCAGACTGAATTCATCTATTCTCCCCCTCCCCACAAGCTTCCTTATCTTCAAACTTCCTAGCAATTGTCAACATCATTCTCCAGGTCCTTTGGGTTCCAAATCTTAGGTTCATCTTTGATTCTTCCCTCTCCTTCAGCCTCTATATCCAATAAGTTTACAAGTCTTGACAATTTTTCCCCACAACATCTCACGTTTGTCCCTTTCTTTCCACTTACACTGCCATCATCCTAGCTGGGGCTCTCATCATGTTTTCTTGGACTATGTGGTAAGCTGGTCTTCCTGCCTCCAGTTTTTTCGCCCTTAAATCCTTCACACAGCTACCAAAATAATCTTTCTAATGCACAGGACTGACCAAGTCACTCTTCATCTCAAAAATGGCTCCCCTTCATGTATAGGATAAACTCCTCACCCTAGCATTTAGGTACCTTGAAAACCTGGCTTCCAACTTACCCTTCCAGTCTTATTTCAGTCTTTTCCTTTCATATCATCTAACTTTCAGCCAGACTAGACCATGAGGCATTTCCCAGTTTTGTCCTGCCCCCTTTGGCCTCTACACAGTTGCATCGCCCATTTCGTCATGCCATCCTACTACTCCCTTTACATTTCTACCTGTTGAAAACCTTCCATGCCTTCAAGGCTCAGTTCAAGGGCTCCATCATCTGGGAAGCAACCTCTTTTCCCTTCAGATAAAACAGAACTCCGCTTCTTCATATTTCTTAGAGTCCTCAGTCTGGATCCTTCATCTACCATTGTTATATTTTGCCTTGTACCTTATCTACAATTTTCATCATGGTCTCTTCAGTACCTCACTCAATGCCATAGTCATGACAGACACTTGATGAATAGCAGTGGTATTCCCCAGCTGAGAAAGAGGTGCTAAAACCCAGATAATCAATCAAATATAATAAAAAAAATCAAAGCAATCCTGGGCTGTTCTCTCCAGTGAACTCTACCACCAACAAAAATAGATCTCCCTCCTGAAACTGCTTCTACAACAATAAAAATGCAGGAGTCCCAGTCAAGTGGAAATGAAAGAGAAGAGACAAGATACTTAATTACCTGATTCAGAAAGGCAGCTGTGAAGCTGATTCCAAACTTGGTAGGAATTATACACAAACCTTTCTTCTTCCAACAATTCTCCCTGGAAAAAAGTGAAAATTTCCCAAAGATCCTATCCACCTGTGTGGGTCTTGATCCTCTTTGTATATATGTCTTATCTCCTCTGTTAGACTATAAGCTCCTTAAGGGCAGGGACTATATATTTTCTGGGCTGCCACACAGCTTCATTTAGTCATTGTATCTCCCCCATGGTTTGGTATACTGGTATGTACCTAGAACGTATTTAATAAATATCTGCTGTAGTTTAAAAATTCAAATTATTACAGAAAATTTCAAAGATGATCATGACAGAAATGGAAGCATATCAAGCACTGCCCTTTCCCCTACCCCAGCTTCTCTATGTAGCAAGTTCTTGGTTTCCTATCCTTTCCTTCCCAGGTCTTACTTGTTAAACTTCTCGATCTCCCTCTTCCTGGTATGATACTGTGAGCTTTCCAGGCATTCATCCCAGCACCTGGGCAAAGTGAAGCCCTCCAGCCTCTGGTTAAAATGAGTCAGGTCTCCTTCCTTGTACATGTTCAGTCTTCGAACCTTCCCAACAGAGACAGAGAGTTTGAGGGTGGTGAGGTACTCAGACGCTCCAACCCAATCCTAACACTGCTCCTGGAGACAGGTTAATGTATCCTGAGCAGGGCAACCCAATATTTTAGCCAGCAACACTAATCTTAGTTCTTACTTCCTCTGCTGGAAGTCTACAGGTCAGGGCAACTTCACTCATCCAGTACTCAGCAATGAACATCCCCTGGGGCCCCCCAAAACCCCTGAAGGCTGTGTTGGAAGGCAGGTTGGTCTTGCAGAGTCGGCCGGTACCCCGGATGTTGGGGATCTTATAGCAGTTGTCCATATGAAATAAAGCCCTCTCCATGATCTGAGGAAAAGGAGTACAAAAAGGAATAAATAAACCATCATTTTCAATGGCTGTCTCCAAAGATTTTTCCTGTCCAATTTAAACAATGTACCAGGCTTTAAGTAAGAAGGGTACTAACTTCTTCAAAAATGTTGAGTTTACTGGTTATGGGATTATAGGATCATAGATTTAGAGCTCAAAGCAATCTTAAAGGCCAACAAATCCAGCCCCCTCATTTTACAGATGAGGAAACTGAGGTTGATAAAAGTTAAGTGACTTGCCCCAAGTTACACAGCTATTAAGTGTCTGAGGCAGGATCTGAACTTTGTATTTCCTGACTGCAGGTCCAGCACTCTACGTACTTCACCACCTAATTTAATAGATGATATATGCGAGCTGGTGTGGCTAAAAATAAAAAATTTTAAAAATCACCCTGTGGGCAACCTGGTGACCTAAACTTAACTAGGCTGCTCTTCAGACAACAGACATGCAGTCTGTCACCAGGTTCACATTTAAAGCCTTTCCAGCTCATTAAGACTTGTCAGAGCTTGTGTTCTCCTGGGATAGCTTTCAAGAACCTAAAGATCATTTGCATTTTAGGATGAGGCATCGTAGGAGGACTTGAGCAGAGAGTTATGTCATCCTATGTATGCCCATACCACCTCTAACAAAATTGCTCAATATTTTTGGTCTCAATCAAACACTTAACAATAATGCTCATTTTGCTATTCTTGCCCCCATTCTGCTTCCTCCATTATCCACCCACTCATTGACCTAAGGGCTTTTGACTAATTATTGAACTCTCCTGCCAGAACTATGGTTTCTATGCTTACTCATGGTCTATTCATGGCGTAATTCTGGTTGTGGTCAGAACAGCATCAAATGATCCTGCAAATTAAGTCAAATCAATAAAAACAGATAATGTCCCTCAGGGTATCTTTCCTCTGAAATGCTCAATTCACTTAACAGTTGTTAACCAGTCACCATCTTATCAATGTTGACTTGTTGAGGTTCTTAGGGTGTCTCAAAAACCAAATCATAGCCTAGGTCCCTTGAATCAGGACAAGCATAGTTCAACAATCCAAGCCCACTCCTATACCTCTTATACTCAGTGATATTCTGCTAAGCAATGTTCAATATTAAACTTGAAGTTGGCTGGAGTGGGGTAGGGTAGGGGACTTGGAGAGGATGGTGGTTCAAAGGTCGGGTCTTACTTACACTCCCAGAGAGGTCTAAAGTATTTCCTGCATTGCTGTAGTGTTCAACTTCGAGGGCCACAATCTTTCCAGTCTTCATGAAGCCAACCTAACCACAAAGCAGACCACTTCAGCCAGGGTACTTTCCCAATACTCTATCTCTATATCCATCTCTTTCCCTCCCTTCTCTTTAGCCTCACAGGAGAAAAACAGAGGGAACACTATACCAAGGATATAATAAAAGGAACCTAATATCAGGTGCTTCCTTCAAGAAGAAAAAAAAAAACCAACTTTTTTTTTAAAGGGCAACCAGGGTTCAGGAGGAGACTAATCTTGACTTCACAACCCTGAACATGCCCCCACCCATTCACTGCTCCAAGACTGTTTTACGTTTTGGTTTGTCTTTAATCTTCAGCACCCTAACACAGTGATTTCTATACAGTAGGCTCTTCGCAAAATGCTTATTGAATGGAAGTGAACTGCTTTCTGGCTTTCATGATGGAAAAAGAGAAGTGGGGGAGCACAAAGATGGTGAAACAAAGAAGGAGGATGAGGAAAGAGAAGCGAAGAAAAAGAGAGGAGGGAGAAGGGATGAAGGGCAAGGTATGACTTAGTGCTTCACAACAGATTTCAGAAGTGAGGATGTCAAATTCAATCCACTGCAAAGAGGAGAACACACTCTGCTAACCCAATTCTGTCAGTCTGAGGCATCCAGGAAAAGGTCTCAGTTTAAGGGCAAATACTCTCCTAAGCAGACAAACATGGATGAAAGAGGGATAGCAATGGCAGGGTACATTGGAACCCACGTAATACTGTGATCTTTCTTCATGGTATTCTGCCACTAAGCAATCACAACTAAGTCTCTCATTCATGCAGCATGCTATCTTTATCTTTTTTTTGGTTGTTTTGTTTGTTTGTTTTTGCTAGGCAGTTGGGGTAAGTGACTTACCCAGGGTCACACAGCTACTAAGTATGAAGTGTCTCAGGCTGGGTTTGAGCTCAGGTCCTCCTGACTCCAGGGCTGGTGCTCTATCTACTGCATCACCTAGCTGCCCCATCATTCTATCCTTTTCAAAGTACATACATACCCATCTCAGTACTTCATCCTCACAACAGCTCTCTGAGGTAGCTATTATCCTCTCCATTTTACAGATGAGGAAACTAAGGTCTGATATGTGCCTATGGTCACACTGCCAGCATGTAAGCACCTTGGTAGCAGAGACCAATTCATTTCTGCCTTTGCATCCTCAGAACGTGGCACAGTATTTGGTATATAATAGGGTACTAATAAATGTTTACTGAATTAAATAAAAGTGGAAGTGAAAGAGGTAAGATTGAAAATCAGATCATCTGATTCCTAATCCAGTGCTATATCTACCAGAATTGTAACTATGGCAGGGTGATCTAAGTTTATCCCTAGGGTACTAAAATTTAGAGGGTGCTAGCAACACTTACTTTAGCAGCACAGAAACTACTCAGCTTATCAGTTACTCAGCAAGAATAATAAATTAGAATAGGAAGCTACCAAGTAGTATGTCATCTTCTGTATCTGTGTCCTTACTAATTCCCCATCACCACTACTATGTCAAGGGGGCCACACCTCTGTCACCCACAACTACGCAACACTATCCAGGGGTCTCTTCCAACCAACTGAAGTTTTCTTAAAAAGTTAAAGTGAGGGCATATTTCTTGTGGCTCACCATGGACATGTTTTGTGACATTTGCCCTAGACTCCAAAATTGCGAGTTATGGTTCTGATTCATGGTATATCAAGCTTCCTCACCCAGAGGGGAAAACTTAAGCAAAGGAATCCTTTCTCATTCACACAATGTGGCCACATCCCCGAACTTCTGTCTTCCAATTATATCACTAGACTGTGTGGCTGAATCTGACTTTGTTCCTTTAAATTGAATACCTTATATCTGGCCAAAAATGGGTGTCTCCCACCAGTTATCAACATGTCTTCATCCCGATCCAGCATGCAACGTACAGGGCGGCCAGTCCTGGGAGAGAAACCATTACCCTTACAGACATGCAGCCTTTTCCAGGAAACCAGCTTCCCAATCAGCAGAAGGAAGCCTCCTGCTCCCCTGTGCCCCCCCCATTCAACCTCCTGGCTTTAGAACTTACTTGAATGCAGCCAAAGCCACTGCTGTAGACAGTACGGTGCTCCGGGTCTCCTTTCCTCCAAAGCCTCCTCCCATTCTCTTCACTCGAACCACAATGCGATTTGCTGGGACCCCCAAGACTTTGGCCACAAAACTCTGGAATGAAAACGAGAGAATGCTGACTCAGAGTTAACATCACATCTATCACTAGGAGGCACAACAGACTCAGACCCCACATGTAGACAGTTATGGTGACAACAGCCCGTTCATTTGCAAGGAGGAAGCCTAGAAATACCTACAGCTGATGTCTAGGTCAGCTAGATCACGCCTGGCACTGGAACCCAGCTCTAGTGCAATAGACCAAGCTCAGGCTGTTTTGTGCCTAATGGGCTCTCAAGAGATGCCGGCAAGGCACGGAGAAATACTCACTCTAGATTAATAGGACGTACTCATCCCACTGGAGCAAATAAGAATTCTGCAGAAGAGTTTATTTATGTAAAAACAAGTCAAATAAGAGGGGTATCATGGTTTCAGACAAGTAGTGACCTCTGACTGAACTCAAACACTAGAGTCCCTTTATTTCTCCTTATGTATTGTAAAACACACTGGGCAGCTTGGTGGTACAGTGGACAGGATGCTGAGCCTGGAGTCAGGAAGCCTCTCTTCCTGAGGTCAATTCCGGCCTAACACACTTCCTAGCTGTGTGACCCTGGGCGAGTCACTTAACCCTGTTTGCCTCAGTTTCCTCATCTGTAAAACAAGCTGGAGAAGGAGATGGCAAACCCCTCCAATATCTTTGACAAGAATACCCCAATGGGATCATGAAGAGTCGAATGCAACTTAAAAACAACTGAACATCATCATTGTATAATAGCCAAGACTAAACCATTGAGTGACATCTTGTTGTATAAGACCCAATTGTTGAGATCATTCCCCAAAAAAGAATACAATTTCATGTAAAGTAACACAGTGAGACTTCTAAACCAGATCAAACTCATGATGCTGGAAGCTCCCTCACACAGCCTGCCTTCTCCTCATGAATATTATGGGGGAGGGAGAGCCTCCCCTTGCTGTTAGAACCATAACATTTTATGCCTCATTTATCTTTTCTATGACTTTAATAAAATTGCTTTTGCTACGACATCATGGCTTCCACTGCCATAGTGGTCCCCACTATCCCTAAACTTACATTCTCCTCATTTTATATCCAGCATAATAGCTTTCTTCTTTCCTTCCTTCCTCCTTTTCTTCCTCCTTCTCCCCACCCCCACCTCTCTTCCTCTCACTGGATATCCTGATCTTGCCCAGGCTGAAAGTGCAGCAGTTACTAATGGGCCCAATCCCATTGCTGATTGGCATGGAAACTTTGAACTGTTCTGTTTATAACCTACACTGGTTCACTCCCTGCTAAGCAACCTGGTTCCCCACCCCTCAGTCCCATATTGGTGCTGAACTCTGAGTCAACACCTAATCAGTCAGTTTTAACCCTACTGCATCTCAGAACTCCCTAACTCAAATGATCTACCAGCCTTAGCCTCCCTGGTTGGCGAGGACTATAGGCAGAGACCACAGGCAAGACAAAGGTGTGTTGGAGTCAGCTCCTGCAGGGCCTTGAAGCCACATGTGGCCCTCTAGGTCCTTAAGTACAGTCCTTTGATTGAATCCAAACTTCACAGAACAAATACCCTTATTAAAAAGATTTCTTCTACAAAACTTGGAACTCAGTCAAACGGCTGCACCCAAGGACCTAGAAGGCCACATATGGCCTTGAGGCCGCAGGTTCCCTACCTCTCTACCTGGCAGCTGTTAGATTTTCAGTGTGAACATTAAACCTCAGAAATTCCCCAAAGCTACAAATCAGGGCTTGATGTATTGTTTTGTTGATTGTCAAGACTTAAGAAAGTGATGGAGAAAATAGTAATAATGCAGATTAAACCTAAAAGTGGGTTTCGTATAAACTTTTTTTTTCCTGGAGGGACAGTTGTTAACATTTACCAGCACACCCCTGGCATTCACCACTGCATCCAGCCCTACCATGATTACTATCAACCAAAAAAGAGGGGGATCAGAAAATATCAGTCAAGAGGGACCTTAGAGGCCATTTGGTCTGACTAAAACTTGAACAATAATCCCTTCTCTAAACTCCTTGCCTCACAGTCGCACAGAGAGTAAGAGGCAGAGCCAGAACCAGAATCCAGGTATAGTGAAGAGGCACCATGGACTTGAGGCCCCGAAGACCCGGATTCCAATCGCACCACAGCTGCTTCCTAGCTGGGTGACCCGAGGCAAGTCATTTCACTACTTGTCTCCGCTTTATTTTCCTCTCCTGTAAAATGAAGGGGAGCGGGCTGGACGGCCTCTGTGGTCCTTTTCAGCTCCAAATTGATGGGCCTCTGATTTTTAGTTCAGTGTTGCCTCTCCATAGTTTCTCTGCAAACAGGAATCTCAGCACTTTGCACGTTTCTATCAAATTCCCTTTGCCAGTCCATTAACTGATTAGCCGATTACCTGAGTCTTCATTGTGTTCTGGGTGGACACAAAGAGCTCCATCTCTCCTGCTTCACCCTTCGGGACAGCAATGGTGCAATGAGTCTCTAAGTAGAAGTGTTCCTGCCCACCGATATACAGCTCCCCTGGAAAGACCACAGAAAATCAAATTTTAGTAGTGCAGGGGAGGACAGAATCCTATATAAGGAGGAAAAAATGTAATTTACAGATTCCTATTGAAGGATGACTATGTGTAAACCAGGAAATCAGAAAAAGATCTCAGGTTCACAGCAGACCATGAATTGAAAATGAAGCAGGGATAATGTCAAGTCAAGGCAAGTCAAGCAGTATTATTAAGCATGTGCTATGTGCCAGGTACTGTGTTAAGAGATACAAAGAGAAGACAAAAAAGTAGCCCCTCCTTTCAAGGAGCTTACAGTCTAATTGAGGAAGCAACTATTAAATTTTCACTGTGAGCATTGACACCTCAGAAATCAGCAAATGCTACAAATCGGGGCTCGGTTTATTATTTTGTTTCTTGATGGAGCTCTTTGTATGCACTAACATACTTTTAAATATAATCTGCAAATGCAGATTATATTTAAAAGTATGTTAGTGCATACATTTTTTTTTTCCTGAAGATATGGCTGTAAATATTTGCCAGCACACTGTTCAAGGCATTGGAGGTGATTGAATAGGTAGGTAACATGGTCAGCCATGGTCTTTAGGAAAATCAATTTGACAATTGGGTGGAAGATGGATTCATTTAAATGACATTTTAGGAAATTAAGAGGAATATGTATACTGCTATTACAGTCGGCAATGATGACTAGGTCATTTGCTAAAGATTAATGTATAATTCTGGAAAAAGACAAAAGGAAATCAACAAAAATTATTAAAGGCTATTTGTCAAATGACCTAAATTCTACTCCTTTTCTGACAGTAGCTATATAACCTTGGCCCAAACACTTCCATTTCCTGGATCTTTTCTTATTTTCCTTGTCCCTATCAAAAGAAGGGAAATTCTCTTTAGCTGTAACATTCAGCAATTCTATCACATATGGAGAAAGTGGCTTTTCTTTTTTTTTTAATAAGGAGATCACAGAACTTGAAAAAAGAGAAAGCTTCTACATACTTAGTAATGTATATTGGTATAACAGATCTAGAAAACAGTAGGAACATAAATCTAGTGTAAGAAGGGCCCTCAGAGTCCATCTAATTCCATCCCTTCATTTTACAGTTGAGAAAATTGAGGCCCAGGGAGCTAAAGTGATTTGAACAAAGTTATTGAAGGAGTAATTATCATAAGTAGAATTTGTATCCAGCATCTTGTGCCCTAGAGCCTGTGTTCTTCCCATTGTACCATGATGCTATGAAAATATGAAAAATGAGCAGTTCTATCCAAGATTAAAGAGTCTTCTATTCTATCTCCAGGTTCACTACAAACCCAGTGTGTGTCACCTTAAGCAAATCTGTGGAATGAGAATACTAATCTTCCACTTATGCTATATGTCTGTAGGGAAGATCCAACAAGATTGTGTGAACCGCTTTTCAAAGAAGTTAAAAATGCTATAAAAATTTATTGGCTATTAGTTGGAAGAAATGGGCTCCAATTGCATTAGGAGAGATTTAGGTTAAACACAATGAAAATCTTCCTCATCATAAGAACAATAACTCACTGTAATATATGTACGAGGTAGGATAAAGAATATCAAATTAACCCACAGCATGTCTGAGGCTTTAAGCCACCTGAAAGAGGGAGAGAAATTCTAGGACATGTCACTAAACATATGGTTAGCTAATGCATAAGAAAGCAGGCAATGATCACAAAGTGCCAGTACGCTGTCAGCATTAACAGAAGCTCACATTTCTACAGCGCTTTAAGATTGTCAGAGCACTTTACTAATACTATCTCATTTGAGCCTCACAAAACCCTTGTGGAATAGATGTCACTAATACCCCCATTTTATGGTAAAGGAACTCTAGCTGAGAGATCTTAAATGTCTTGCCCAGGATCACACAATTAGTAAGTATATGGGGTAGGACTGGAGCCCAAGTCTTCCTGTCCCCTAATCCATACCTCAGTAACAGATGAGGTCAGAGAAGTATTTACTTTTAGGAAGGCTTACTAAACTGACAATTATAACAGCTCACATTGATGTGTCTCCTTGAGGTTTGTCAAGCAATTTCCATAATGCCCCATGAGACTGATGTTAGTCTTTTAATATTCAACTAAATATTAAAATTATAGATGAGGAAACTGAAGTCCAAAGAGAAAGAGTTCATACTTAATTAGAAAGCATTTGATGCAGGGTTTAAATCAGCATCTTTCTTTCCAAAGCCCACCACTATATCCACTACATTATAGAATAGAATAGGGGAAGTACTATATATAGAATTTGCCTAGATTTTAACAAGGCATTTGCCACTCTCTCCTGCTGTTCTTGTGAAGGATGAAGAGATGCGAGCAGAACTGATTAAATATCCAGACCCAAAGAGGAGGCATCAATGGTCTTGTTTTAACTCGGAAGGAGATCCCAAGGAATCTGTGTGCGACCCTGTGTTTTTAGTGCCTTACAGCAATAACTAGGATAAAGGCATAGGAGGCCAGCTTATTAAGTTTGCCAATGACACAGTCATTAGTAACTAAGGTAATGAATGAAAGAATCAGGATTCTAAGAGTTCTTAACAGGGTAGAACAGTCCGGATCACATCTGAAAAAATTTAATAGGAATAAGGGGAATACAGGAAAAGCATTTATTAATGACCTGGTTACTATGTGCCTTGTTAAGTGCTAAGCACTTAACAAATAGTATTCCATTTCATCCTCTCAACAAGCCTAGGAGGTAGGTGCTATTATCATCTCCATTTTATTGCTGAGGAAACTGAGGCAAACAGGTTAAATTACTTGCCCAGGGTCACACATTGTAGTAAGTGTCTAAGGCTGGCTTTGAATTCAAGTCTTTCTGATTCCAAATCCAATACTCTTTTATGCCATGTAGTTGCCTTGGCTTGGCATATTCTTGGCTTCAAAAATACAATTCAAAAGTACATAATGGGTGAAACATGGCTAGATAAAAGTTGTCTAAAAATGATCTGGACATCTTAGCGGATTCCAAACTAAATATGAATCAATGGTGAAATAGAACAGCAAAGAAAGATAATGCAATCTGAGGGTATTTTAAAAGAAGATAGTTGATTGAAAAGGTGGAGAAAGGGCATTCCAGATATAGGCAATACGGTATTTCAATATATACGTATTGTATACTTTCATATACATAAGAGGGCTATAGACATGCAACCTCAGATCTCTATTACATATAATTTGATTGCCTTTTAAAGAATATAATAAACTCAAACTGGAACTTTCATAAGCAGAAAAATTCTAATCCCTCTTCCATATGATGACTCTTCTAATATTGGAACATAGTTAGCATGTCTTCCCAGAATATCCCTTTCTCCAGATTAAACACTCCCCAGTACCTTCAATCCATCCTCATATGGTATGGACATGAGAACATTTACCATCCTGGTTACTTTACAAACTCTCAAATTTATTAATGGCTGTCCTAAAAGCTGACATCCAGGAATAAACAAAGTACCCCAAATGTGGTTGATCAGCAGGATTATCATTGCCTTACTTTGGAGACACCATGCATTTCTTAGTGAAGCTCAAGATAACGTTGGCTTTCTTGATGATTACTTGGGGTCAACGTAGCCTGGGTTCTGCCAAAGCCAGCTAAGTGGCATAGTGGCTAGATCACTAGCTATGGGGTTAGGAAGACTTGAGTTCAAATCTAGTCTCAAACCCAAGTCAGTTAACTTCTGTCTATCTGTTTCCTCACCTGTAAAATGAAGATAATAATAGCACCTACTTCCCAGAGTTGTAATGAAAATAAAATAGTTAATACTTGTGAAATACTTTGTAAATTCTAGCTATTATTATTAAGTCTGGAGGTTTAAAAAAAGCATCCTTTTTTGTTATGGGTCAAGACTAAAGCAATTTAATGTTACCATGGAATCAGAATACCCCAAGATTCTGGACATTACAGATCATCCTGTTTGACTTAAACAGAAATCCAATACTTAATAAATCTAGAGGCAACTAGGAGGGAGAGTGGATAGAGTACTGGACCTGAAGTCAGGAAAACCTGAGTCCAAATCTAGCCTCAAGCACTTAATATCTATGTGACCCTGAGCAAATCACTTAACCTCTGTCTGCCTCAGTTCCCTCAACTGTAAAATGGGGATAATAGTAGAAGCTACCTCACAGATCAAAAGACATGATATAAAGTACTTAGCAAAGTGCCTAGTATATAGGAGGCACTTAATAAATGCTTATTCCCTCCCCAATCTCTTTGGTTTCTTCATCTTTATGAATGAGCTCCATTCCAGCAACAAACTTCTATGATATTTAGAAATAACAGAAAGGACTAGTGTCCTGTATGCAAAACTGTTGTTTGGTTTCTTCCCAAATGAGAGCTGTCACCCGACCCTCCCCAAGCACTATGAAGGGAAAAATTAGACAACCGTACCTGAAACAACATTATCAGCTTCAGCAAACCCTTTTTTGAGGTCTCCTTTCTCAATCTTGAGTTCTGAACCATAGAAGGAATTGTTTTTTATTGCATCCTGAATGATAAAAAATAAGGCATGAGTACCCAAATCTTCAGGGAGTTAACAGAAGAAGGAGAAGAGAGAAGATGGTATTTCTGACTTGAGGAGGGCAAATTCTTGGAGTCAATTGCTGTTTTTCTTTCCCAGGTTCATTTGGATACACTCAGGAGATGGGTGGAGATGGGAAGATACATGGCCATAAAAATCAGAAGAGGGCTCAGGGATTGCATTTCTTCAAAGCAATCTACACAGCATGGCAGAGTGTTTAAACACTGCATTTCAAGCACAACAAATAACTACAAGAATGCAGTCAGAGCTGAGGAAGGCACTGATGAATGAAGGTTTAAGCAGGGGGAGGGAGAATGTCAGGGTAAAGGTGAGAAGACCAGGGTTTAGCATCAGTCACCTCAATTGTGATAATGGCTGGAAGTTCCTCATAGGTAATTTTCATGGCTTGAGCTGCCCTCTGTGCATGTTCTGGGGTGTCTGTGACCACAGCTCCAATGATGTGTCCCACACAAGTCACCTAGAACAAGGAACATTGCTGTTGAACCAAGATGGTCTCAGCGAATCAACAACTCTACTCAATCATTCCTTGAGCTTTCTATGCTCTGGCTGCCTTCCCTAAGTCACCTGTCCCTATCAAAGATGGAGAGGCTGAGAAGTAGAGAGAAGAGAGCCTGCCCTGGAGCAAGGAAGACCTGAGTCCAAGTCCTGAGGTCATGTGGCCCTAGGCAAATGATCTAGACTCTAGACAGCTCTAGACAGCCCTCTGAGACTATAAGTAGCATGCATTCTTAGGAATTTTCTCACCTGGGAGATCCCTATGCCAAGGAAATCACAAGTCTCTAGTCCCTATGTCTCAGAGGGAAAGAGAAGAGAAGGGAATGAGCATATATAGTGCCTACTTCAGGCACGCCTTTACAAATCGCTATTGCTCATCCTTTGTCCTCAAAGATGACCAATGACATCTCATGGGTGATGTCTTGACTTGCACATGAATTGGATTTCAGGGAGGCAGAGCTGCACAAAGTTGTCAACCTCATGCTCTCATCTAGTCATCAAAGTCAATTGGCAAGACAAAAGTCAGGACAACTAGAGATGCCCTGAGATGCAGCAGATGACCTTGGCCTTTCTAAATATGATCTCATTAGATCAAAGACATATTTGCAATGAGATTGTCTTTCTAATCTCAATATTATTATTATACTCAGCACTAACGTTACTAGGAAGTTCCATTACAGTACAATAATGTTTCATTTAGTGAGTATCACTGGGGGAAAAGTCTACAGAACTGAAATTTCCAGATAATTAAACTTTGTCAACCTTTAAAGCACTGTATAAAAGCCAGAGATTATTCTTACAGTTATCTTTGCATCCCTGAGGCCAAGAGGCAGTTAGGTGGCTCAGTTAATAAAGCATTATTAGGCCTGCAGTCAGGAAGATCTGAGTTCAGATCTGATCTCAGACACTCACTATTTGACCCCAAGTGAGTCATTTAATTGCTGTTTGCCTGCTTCTTCATCTGTAAAATGGGGATAATAATAGCACCCACATCCCAGGTTTGTTGTGAGGATCAAATGAGATAATATTGCAAAGCACTTAACACAGTGTCTGGCATATAGTAGCCCAACTTAATAAATGCTTACTACTTCTCTTCCTCCCAAAGTCTCTTTTCTGGTAATACTATGTTTTGTATGCAGTAAATAATTAATGTATATGTATATATGTATTTCTTAGAAAGTGGACTGAGTAACTTCTATTTTTGGCTTTTTTACTTTCTTACTTTCTGCAAAGTTGAAGCTCTGCATGGTTGAAGTCACCAGAATATACACGATATTACCATAAATTGTGTTAATGTTGATTTACAATTCTATTCATGTCTAAGTAGTTAGTGTATTTATTTAATATAAAGGCATCTAGATGGCACAGTGGATATAAGCACTGGGCCTGGAGTCAGGAAGACTTGAGTTCAAACTCAGCTCCAGACATTTACTATGTGATGCTGGCAAGTCATTAACTTCTCATGGCCTCATTTTCTTCATCTGCAAAATGGGGATAATAATAGCAACTACCTCCTAAGATTGTTGTGAGAATAAGATAATATGAGATAGTATTTGTAAAACACTTTGCAAATCTTAAAGCACTATATAAATGCTAGCTCTTATTAGCTTTATCACCATCATTATTATCACTTAAATGATGGCTTCTGTTCTAAATAGAGAAACTCACAACAGCAAAGGGAGCAGTTTTTAAACTACCACTACTATCTCTAGGAACTAAAGTGTAACTATAAGCACAATCAGACTGCCAGATTCAATAGACATCATTTTGATGTAGGATTTCCACCTTATGAGGACTCCAGTTATTCATGGACTAGACCAACAGAAGGATGAGAGTAGAAGTGTAATTAAGGTAGCCCTACACGTAATTCATTCCTGCTTTCTGGTGGCATATCAGTCAAATGGATATTGGCTGCCCATGCAGGTATGGAAAATATGGAAACTGGACGTTTGAGAAGACGTGACCAAGATTAAAGATATAAAAAGTCTCCATTTACTTCATAGGGAACGAGTCATACCTTATGTTTAGCAAAGACAGTTTCATCATTAAATAGTCCAGTTTCATTACTCCCAGGAATATCATCAGCTGAGAGGAAACAAACAAAGCCAGGCACTTTCTGAGCTTCTGAAGCATCTATGGACCTAAAAGAATGAGCATCATGAGTGAGAGGGCAAGGAAGCTGCAGCAAGCTCTATTACTCAGGTTGGGTCTCCACAGGCAAAATGAAAAGGAGAAATAATTAATCCAATGAATTTGATCACTGTTTTCTTCCATTCAAGACTTGTTTTTGTCTGCAGTCCTCCACTCTGCCCTTTGGATTGTTATTACTGACCCAGTTCTGCCCCTCCCCTTTACCTTGATATCAGAGGAATAGAAAATCACAGAGACATAGCCCAGGGTAGTAAAATGTCCCCAGACTTGGAATTTGAAGATACAGCTCTGTCACTTACTAGCTATGTGACCTGTCCCATCACTTCTTTGAGGCTCACTCAGATCATCCATAAAACTGAAATAACAATTCTTACGCTGCCTTTCTTGCAGCATTATCATAACTGCTAATCTTTCTAAAATGCATCACAAGGTGCTACGTAAAAGTGAGTAATATTATTGTTCCACATAATACACAGAAGACTGTCCTAGGCATTGAATTTTCTGACACAACCCTGATGCAAAAGCTAGAGAGAAAATCTTCTCACCCATCTTCCACAGCATTTGTGCTCCTATCCAATATCACCATATCAGAGGGAAAGTTACAATGTTTGGACCTCAAACGATATAGGATACTACGGGAAGGGAGCCCAATGTAACCAAGCTGCAGACATCCTCTGCTCCTTCTGACCACCTCCTCCATGGAAAAATGACAACATGTATATGGGACTTCTGCTCTTTCAACATGCTCACCTCCATCCAGATGTTATTTGATTAAAAGGAAGAATGCCCTGAGATGGCACTGACAAAGTACCCCCATAGTCTCCTATGTTGTTTAAGTAATTTCAGTCAATTAGTTTAGGTTTCTAGGACCCAATACAAATAATGCATCACATAATTTCATATTACTTTCCTGAAAGTGTTTCCCAAGTTTTTTTAAATTTTCCCTGTGTTTAGCTAGAGAACTGAATGGTTAGAAATGGAGATCAGTCAATCAATTAACAAACATCTGATGCCCTTTAGATTGTGAAGAAGAATAGGGTGCTCTGATATGAATACACAAATAGGAGCTGAGACCTCAATTGACCATTCAAAATTCTCCAGGAATCTTACATCTAAAAATGGGTACATATAATAAGACCTTCGGTGGTCAGTCCTAGGTAGATCCCACCAAATTCCTAATTTCTAGGTCCAAAGGTCACTTTATTCCATCATATCCACAGCTACAACTCACTTGATTTTGGCATGAGCCTTGGTGCTGGTGACTAGTCGAAGGCAGAGTTCGTTGGAATAGAGGGGGATGTCATCACAGTACACGGCCTCCCCTGAGGCCTGCATGGCAGCGGAAAGGTGGGGGATGGGCCGGCCCACCATGTCATCTTCAGCCTGTCCCTTGGGAACTTCCTAGAACAACAGGAGTGGGCAGTCAGGCTAAGCCTCTGAAGGGGATTCTCCAACTACTCAGGGAAAGAGGAGAAAAGGTGGAGCTAGGGAGGGAAAGGAGGCTGGAGAAATAAGACTGGGAGATACCAGCAAGCAAAAAAAGATGAGAAGACATAGGATCATAGAAGTAAAGGGAACCTCAAAGGCCATTAATCCAACCCCCTCATCGTACATGAGAAAACTGAGGCCTAAGGAGGTTAAATAACTCACCCACAGTCACACAGGTAGTTGGCGTCAGAGGAAAGCTTTGAACCCAGGTTTGTTTTTTTTTTCCACTTTATAATACTGCCTGCTACTAAGACTGGAGAAGACAGTGGGGCTTCAAGACTGAGTGCAGTACAGAAGGAGGTAGAAGAAGCAGTTTTTGATGAGAAGGGAAAGCAAAGGTGAGCATGATTAATCCCAGTTCTGTCCACCGGCCCTGGAGAGGGACAGAAGAGACAAGAGACTGGGAAGGGGTTGATCATTATTTAAGAAATAGATAAAAAGTAGAAATTGGAGCTCCAGGGACAAGATTAGGAAGAACAAAAAGGAAAAAAAATGCAACATTGATCTGAATATGATTCTGGGTTTCTTTACCTAGCCCATATCATCTCAGAAAGATTAAGTTAGGAGAAGGCTCCCATTTAATGTCAGGTGTGTTTCCACTTACTTGGAAGAGCTGGACATTGGTGGGGGGCTCTTTTTGAAAGAGTGTAGTGGCACAGATATAGGTTGGATCCAGTTTATCGCATTTCTGTGAAAGAGAGAAGACAGAAATGAGCCTCACTGGACATGTTCATAATATTCCAGTCAGTCAGATAACACGCTAAGTAAGCATTGTGGATGTAAAAAGAGGCAAAAGATAGTCCTTGCCCTCAAGGAGCTTACAATTGAATGGAGGTATACACAGGGCAAATAAGGCTTCCTGTAGGATAGGATTTTAGTTGGGACTTATTGGGAATGTCCAACAGGTGGATATCCATCATTGGTCTTAACTTGTCTCCAGGTGAAGATTTTTCAACTAGGGGTCATCTCATTTTATATTTTCCTATATGCTACACAGGAATAGCCATTCCATCCTTGAAAAATGACGACCAATGGAAAACAGAGTGTTTAACAGCATCTTTTTCATGGGACAATGTACAGGAAGAGATAGAGTGATAAGGGATCTTGGGGGAATCCACACAAGAACATTTTTGATATATGTATTGATTATATCTTTGGACTAAGAATCATAGTGGAAAGAGGCCTGTCCTGGGTGCTAGGAGGACCTGGATTCAAGTCTTGTCTATGAGACATATTAGGGCAGCTAGGTACCACAATGGATAGAATGCCTGGCCTGAAGTCAGGAACTCATCTTCCTGAGTTCAAATCTGACCTCAGACACTTCCAAGCAATGTAACCACTAGGCAAGTCACTCAACCCTGTTTGCCTCACTTTTCTCATCTGTAAAATGAGCTAGAAAGAGAAATGGCAAACTACTTCAGTATCTTTGCCAAGAAAATCCAAATGGGGTCATGAAAAGTTGGACATGACTGAAACGACTGAACAACAATTGACAAATATTGGCTATGAGACCCTGGGCAAGTCATTTAACTTCTCAGTGACACCCAGGCAATTCCCTAAGATTCTAAGTTAGAGAAGATATCAATCTGCCTTGGTAGAGGAAATTGTTCACCAAGTGCTTTCTACCCTCCTAAAATCCTAGATCCTGTCGCTCACCACCCTACTCCCCAAAATTAATGATCTATATTCTATACCTAGTCATCACCTATTCTGAAGGACCAGTGTTTCCTATGGTCTACACTAGCTCTACATCCCACAGCTCTTCCCCTCCAATATATTTATACAGTACTCTAAGGGGCTGCCAAGCTCTTGACATATTAACTCATTTGATCTTTACAGCAACCCTATGAGGTAGTTGTTATTATGATCCACATTTTACAGAAGAGAAAACCAAGGCACAGAGCCTAGCACCAGCCTAACATGATAAATGACTGTTGATTAAATAATGAGCCTCAGAGAGATGATGTGATTTGCCCAAGGCCACACAGTTAGGCAGAATTTGGGTTCATATCTTTTTGACTTGAAACTCAACACTCTAGCAACTATGCCATGCTGCCTCCAATGGTCCAGTTGGAAGGACAAGATAGTCTAAAACTGCCCAGGTATGTCTATACATGTCTCTGTGTTGTTACTGTTGTTCAGTTGTGTCTGACTCTTCCTGATCCCATTTGGGGTTTTCGTGGCAAAGATACTGGAGTTGTTTGCCATTTCCTTCTCTAGCTTGTTTTACAGATGGGGAAACTGAGGCAAACAGGGTTAAGTGACTTGCCCAGGGTCACACAGCTAGGAAGTGTCTGAGGTCAGATTTAAATTCAGACTTTGCTGACTCCAGGCACAGCCCTCTATTCATTGCACCACACGTCTGTGTAGTTTCAGATTGTGGCACGTAACCTAAAACTACACAGGTCTGTACAGTTCATCCCCCCTCACCCCCACCCCCAGTCATGTGATTAATTCCTTCTGCCAGTGCAGATTAGCAATTGTTCTGAATCTTAGGATGTTAGACAGTTGGCTAAAGCACTGATTGGTATTGCCCAGGGTCACACATATATCAGAGACCACATTTGAACCAGGTCTCCCTGACTCTGAGGCCAGCTCTCTATTATCCGATGGCTGCCCCTCACACAGTTTCATAATGCTGTGCTAATATTCTCTTCCTCACTGGTCTTTGCTTTTCCAAAAGGTAGGTGTATTTGCCCTCTTGAGAGCGCACAGGACAGAGGACTGACGACACACCATCTGTCTCCCAGATCAGAGGTGTCAAACATGAAGCCTCCACAACACTCCCAGGTACAGAACCAGATTAAAATGCAATTGGGAAGTATTTAACAAAATAAATAAAAATATAACAGAATATAAATGATGTTAATATATGAGTTTCTAAGTCAATACGCAGCCGGCAGGGATCCTTATGCACAGTTTAGTGGCCCTGCCTCTATTTGTTTGATGCCATCACCCCAGACCACTATGCCTTGGGCACCTCAACCAAGGCAGGTCATGAGGCCTCCCTCTGCCGGCCCCGCCCAAGCCAGCCCACCGGCACTCACATGTGTACTATCTTTGTTCAGTTTCTGAAGCACCGTCAAGTAGAACTTAAAGAAGAAGCTGAGGGTGAGCGTACGTCGGAACTCTATCATGCCACCGGGGGCATCCGGCTCCAAGCTCAGCTCCTCGGCGAGGCTGGCACAGACCTCCTGAAGCAGCTCCTCATTCCAGGCTCTGGCCAGAGAGGAAGTGCAAAGCTGAGACCCTGGGAAGAAAGCACTCCCTGCCCCTTCCCACCCCTGCCCCACCTCGCACCCCACCCACCCCGGCCATCCACTGAGGCCATTCTGTCCATATTCTCTCACCTCCCCTGCTGCTTCCTGGTGGTCTTCAGGGCTGGGATAGTTCTGTCGGCCATGCCTCCAAAACTGATATCCAGCTCCTGGATTTGGTGGCTTTCTGGTTTAAATAAGACCCTCATTCCACAGGTCACTTTAGCGATGTCGTCCTCCCTTCTGGAGGCTTGTTTGAAGGCTGAGAAATATTCCCCCTGAAAGAAGCACGGGGTGGTCTTCTCTTTATCACCATACTTTGCAAGGACTCCAGTACTGGAGTTAGCTAGATTAGGATTATTTTTCCCACTTTATGGAGGGAGCAACTGAGTCACAGGGAGGGCTCAGAGGGAACTTGCCGGGAATCGGGGAAAGAGGTGACATTAGAACTCAGGGGCTAGTACAGAATTCCTATCCCCTTGCATGAGAAGGTCTCAATGACATTTTCAGCTAGTCTTCTCACACCTACAAGACATCATAACTTCTGCACCTAGGGCTATGCCTGGAATAGTCTTCCTTATTTCCACCTTTTAGAAATTCCTTGTTGTTGTTCAGTCATGCTCAATTCTTCATGACCCCATTGGGGGTTTTCTTGGCAAGGACATTGGAGTGGCTTGCCATTTCCTTCTCCAGGAACTGAGGCAAACAGACTTCAGTGACTTGCCCAGGGTTACACAGCTAGTAAGTTTCTGAGGCTAGATTTGAACTCAAGTGTTCCTGACTCTAGGCCTGGCACTCTATCCACTACACCATTTAGCTGCCCATAATGTTCATAATAGCTATTACTTATATAGTGCTTTAAGGTTTGCAAAGCTCTTTACATATGTTAACTTGTCAGGTCCACCATGACTTATTAAATGCCAGGTTCTGAGCCAAAGACATCAAAGCTCAGCTCAGGTATCACCTCCTTGAACACAAGGTCTATTCTGACTCCCTTCCCAGATGCTAGTAACTCTCCACCAAAATGATGTTGTATTTATTTTTTAATATATTTAATATATAACATATGGGCAAGCTAGGTGGTATAGTGGATAGAATGCCAGGCCTGAAATTAGAAAGACTCACCTTCCTAAGTTCAAATCTGGCCTCAGACACTTACTAGCTGGGTAACCCTGGGCAAGTCACTTAATCCTGTTTGCCTCAATTTCCTCATCTGTAAAATGAGCTGGAGAAGAAAATGGCAAACCACTCCAGTATCTTTGCCAAGAAAACTCCAAATGGGGTCACAGTGTCGGACATGACTGAAAAATGACTGAACAGCAACAACATAAAAGATATTTTAATATTATTTATACATATATATATATTTGTATGTGTATTTGTCTCCCTCCCACCCCTACCCCACCAGAATATAGCTTTCTAAGGACAAGAGATATTTCATTTTTATTCTTGTATTCCCAGTGCCTACCCCTGTACTTTTGCACCATTTTAAGCACTGGATAAATGCTTCTTAAATTGAATTAAATGAAACTAGAGTGAGAGCTACATTAATTGGTCTTGACAAATAAGAGAGTGATCATCAGTGTTCCAGCAGAGAACCCCTCTCTACCTAGCATGTAACTTCCTTGAAGGCAGGTGTTGGCACATTTTTGCCTTTGCAGTGCCTGGTATACAGTAGGTGTTTAATAAATGCTTGTTAATTGGCTGATTGAGAGCTAGAAAGAGTTATCTATTAATTTATAAACAGGAAAACTCGAGCATAGAACCAGAATAAGCTTACAGGATCCCCATAGAACATATAAACATTGATTATAGGAGAAATCATTTCTTTAAAAGAAAGTTTATAAAGCCATTACCTTCCCTACTGTAATCTTAGTCAATGGTTAAAATTTACCATTCTCAGTGGGTATGCAAATTGAATATCTCCCTGCCATAGAGACTGACATGCCAAACTAGACAATGGAAGGACAAAAATGGGGGTGGAGGGAATACAAAAAAATACATAAATATTACAGGCATTCAGTACTGAGTCATGGGATAAGGGTTCCTTCCATTTAAAGTAAATGCATCAAAAGGCATCACCCTCCCTTGCTTCTTTTCAGAAGTGAGGGACTCTGGATGTGGAGTCTTGCATATACTGTCAAATTCAGTTGATGTGTTAGATACTTTTGTTGCTCTGCTTTCCCCCCCTTTTTCCTTTTAAATCTTTGATACAAGGGATAACTCTCTAGGAAAGAGAGGCAGGGAGAGATATAGTCAGAAATAAAGGTAATGCAAAAATTAATCAACTAATTTAAAATTTATAAATTAAAATTAATTTGAAAATTAATTCCTTGGAGAAGGAAATGGCGAACCACTCTAGTATCTTTGCCAAGATGACCCCAAATTGGGTCATGAAGAGTTAGAAATAATTAAAACAATTAAACAAACAACAAAAATAATCAATAACACATTTTTAAAACAAAACTAAGAAAGAAAAGCTGCCCATCCTTTCAAACACACCCATCCTATTCTTTGCTCTACTTGGGAACAGAACAGATTGCTCCAGGCGTGATGGGGAGATGAGTTCCCAAGTCAAAGTGAAAATATATCTGCTAGACCTACTTTAGTGCCAACTTTCATAAAGGAATTTGGTCCCTTTTTGAAACAGTAGCTGCTTTTATGAATTGAAAATGGTTTTGTTTTAGGCAGCCAAGCCCAGAGGCCATCATGCAAGAACACAAAGTAGGGTGCTTTCCAGGTATAGGCCTACTTCAACCTCCTGTTAGGCTACAAGACTGTTGTGGGCTTGGACTGGTGTTGGCTCCTAAGGAAGTACAGATTTTGAGTAAAAATAACAAAACCCCAGGAGCGTTAAGGAATCCAGAACTAACAGACACTGAAATGCAGCACAATGAGGTCTTCTATTGATGACTCTCCTTCCAACTCAGAGATGGCTTCAGTCTCTTCTTGGAAAGACTGCTAGATTTCTGCCACTGAGACACACATTTAGATCACCATGTGTTAAAACTACATGGAAACAATAGGTCTAATGTAATTTAATTCTTTTATACAGTCTAAAAGTGCCAGTTAGAAAAAATATTTATTATATATACATATGTGTATATATACCTATGTGTGTATGTATATACAAGTTATATATATATATATACATACATATATATATACATATAGTTTGAATACCTTATGGACATAAACTCTTTTAACTATATTGTTATTCAGTCATTTCAGTCATGTCTGACTCTTTGTGACTCCATTTGGGGTTTTCTTGGCAAAGATACTGCTGTGGTTTACCATTTCCTTCCCCCAGCTCATTTTACAGATGAGGAAACTGAGGCAAACAAAGTTAAGTGACTTGCCCAGGGTCACACTGCTAGTAAGTGTCTGAGGCTGGATTTGAACTCAAGTCTTCCTGACTTCAGGCCTGGTGCTCTATCCACTGAGCTACCCAGCTGCCCCTCTTAACCATAGCACTCAATAATTAGGTCAAAAGTAAAGGGAGGGGAAGGAACAATGGTTCCTCCGAACACTGTTTAAGTACTAACATTTCTAAAGGCAAGAATTCTTCTTCATAAATTCATAGGATCACAAATTTTGAGTTGGAAGGGAACTTACAAGTCATCAAGTCTCCATTTTAAAGAGGAAGAAATTGGGGCTTAGAGAGTTAAGTGACTGTCCAGGGTCATGTAGCTAATCAACCTCTGAGGTGGAATTCAAACCCAGGTCTTCTTGTCTCCAAATCCAGCATTCTATCCCCTCAGCCATATTGTCTCCCTTCCCTCACAGCCTTAGGAAATCTGTCTTCAAATGTCCCTTAAGACATAGAAGTTCAGTACTATCTCTTGAATAGGTGACAAATGGAAAGAAAGGGTGTCACACTACCTGGAGCACTCCTAAGCTCAATGACTGTCATAAAGACAAGAAGAAACCACACAAAGCTTTTTGGACTCATTCCAGGAAATGAGCCAACTGTGGGAGAAAGGAATTTGAATAGAGGATGGAGAACTGTCAAATCAAGGCATAGAGAAAAGTGAACACTTGTATGGAAATGGACTAAATGGCATTTTCCCATTTAAGACAGGAATAAGGATTGGACTTAGGATTTCTTTGCTATAGGGAATTTCCAGATAAGGAAACTCCCTCTACTAATGCAAGTTGGTACCTTTATAGTCTTAGAAAGTTGTCTAGTGGTATCCAACTCAAATAGAAATTGATCCCTGACAGCTGCATATTGATGGAGAAAACCACAAATTAACATTATCTACATCACATTGTAGTTTTATTTATTTTGTTAAACATTTCCTAATTACATTTTCTGGTTCACTACGAGTTTTGTCAGCCTTACAGCCACAAGTTTGACACCTCTGGTCTAGAGCACTGAGAGGGTAAGTGCTTGCCCAGGGTGCTGCCATAGCCAATATGTTCAGATTGAACATATGAACCTAGGTCTTCCTGACTCTAACGCCAGCTCTCTATCTACTATGCTATGCTTCTTGGAACCAAAACTCTACAATGTAGTCATAGGACCACAGGAGCATAGACTTAGATGTAGGAGAAACTTTAGTGGTTCATTTCATCCATCTCTCTTTAATTTTACAGATAAAACTGAGGACCTAAGAGGTATAGCTGTCATAATGGATGACAGAGTCAGGATCTAAAAAGAATCTTGACTGGCTAAAGGGTTTGACTGAATCTAAGATGAATTCCAATGGGAATTTATAAATATAAAGTTTTTTCCATGAGTTCCAAAGATAAACTATTCCAAGGACAACTTGGGAGAGGCATGGTTAGACATCAGTTATTCTGGGGGAGAAAAAGTGGTCTTAGTGGATGGCAAACTCATTATTAGAAAATAGTATGATATGGCAGCCAAGATAGATAATGAAATCTTGGGCATTAAGAGAAGCATAGATTCCAGGAATAGGGAGGTGATAATCCCATAGTGCTGTGCATTCATCAGACTATATCTGGAGGACTGTGTTCATTTCTGGGTACCATGATTTCAGAAGCATATTGACAAGCTAAAGAATGTCCAGAGGCAGACATCCAGAATGGTGAAGGACTGCTTAGTGTGGAAAAGGTAAGATCCTGCTAGGATATAATAGCTGTCTTCAAATATGTGAAGAGTGCTCTTGTGAAAGAGGGACCAGTCTTGTTTGGTCTGGCTCAGAGGTCAGAAGCAGAACCGGTATAGGTGGAAGTTATAAAGAAGCCAATTTAGGTTAAATATCCAGAAAAAATACTTTCTAACAATTAGAGCTGCACAAATATGGAATGGGCTGCCTTGTGGGAGGGGATGAGGTTCTATATTGGAGGTCTTCAAGCAGGGGTTGGATGACCACTTGTTGGGTATATTATAGTAAGGGTTCCTTTCCTGTTTGTGTTTGATTAAATGGCTACTGACGTCCCTTCCAACTCTGATTCTGTGGGTCTGTGATGATGCAGAAATGTAGTGAGTGGCAGAGCTGGGACAAGTATGATTTGATCATTTGGAACAAGAACACTGAATGTGCTTTTCAATAAATCAACGTGTTCTTGGAATTAATTTGCAGAAGTTATTTGGGGTTGGTTTGGTAGAAAGAAAAAAGGAAAGAAAGAAAAAAGAAAGAAAGAATAAAGGAATGAAGGAAGAAAGCAAG